TTGAAACATTTTAAGTTAAATTCATTCTATGATTTTCTTTAGATTTCTCTGCATATATCAATGGAAAAAATTAACTACCTTAATTTCTTATCTATATAGAAATTCCAGTGCAACAAAACCAAATATAGGGTTAGAATATCAGGAAAGCAAAGAAAGAAGTGAAAATTCCCAGATTATGAAATGGAAAAGAACAGAAACATGATATTTAGCTCACAACTCTTTCAACCCGCTTTCTATACACTCCATTATTCTTAGAATTCTTACACAAATATTTAGTACAATTTTGGAGGAATAGTAGAAACATTTTATGGCTTTTCCTTGTCCTGTATCTTCACCTAGCCTTCTTCTTTTCAGCTTTCCTATGTCCTTTCTTCCCCTTTTATAAGGAGAAGTTGTACAATAACATCAGTTGTACAATAACATCCATTTTCATAAGTTATTTAGGTAGATCATTTCGAAGTATACATTTTTGATTTCCAAAACAGCTGTTTTTAATTAAAATTTAATTAACTATTTATGTCATTATATATCTTTTGTTAAGACAACCTTAACTTTCTTCTCTTTTAATAAGATTTTACCCAACTGTTTACCCTAATTATAGACAATTAAAATGTTCTCTTAAAAATATATTATTTTCCATCCATTACTGCCAAAGCAAAGAACGCTTTTTCGCCAGAATACATCCTATACAGCAGTGGTAACCAACCTTTTTGGCACCAGGGACTGGTTTTGTGGATGACAGTTTTTCCACAGGTTAGGGGGTGGGTAGGGTGGGGTGGTTTTGGGATGAAGCTGTTCCATCTCAGATCATCAGGTATTAGAGTCTCATATGGAGCGTGCAACCTAGGTGCCTTGCATGAGCAGTTCACAGTAGGGTTTGCATCCTATGAAAATCCAATGCTGCCTCTGATCTGACAGCAAGCAGAGCTCAGACAGTAACGCAAATTATGGGAAACAGCTGTAAATACAGATGAAGCTTCACTCCCTTGCCCGCCTATCCCCTCCGGCTATGTGGCTCGGTTCCTAACAGGCCAGAGACTGGTACTGGTCCATAGCTCGGGGGTTGGGGACCCCTGCTATACAGGTCTTAGAGTATTTAAATGTCATAAAAAGAGGTATATATGTCTTCCATAGAGTCAGAATGTACGCGAAGTGGGGGTGGGGAGGATTCTAGGGGTTGGGAATGATATATTTTAAAACCTCTGTAAATCTTCAAGTTGTGAATATCACAGTGATATATAATTTTTCCCATAAAATGTTGAGAACAGTTAAGCTTGCTTGAGATATGGCTATCACATGGTTGGTTAGATTCATTTACTAGAAAAGCACACCAGCCTCACCATAGATGAAGTTTGAGTTTAAAACTCAGTAACATTAAATCCATGAATGCCAGCAGTTTGGTTTGGGAGGGTGAGGTCGGTAGATTGCCTGAGCCCAGGAGTTCAGCACCAGCCCGGGCAACACTGCACAACACCCCATTTCTACAAAAATTTCAAAAAATTAGCAGGGTGGCTGGGCGTGGTGGCTCATGCCTGTAATCCCAGCATTTTGGGAGGCCGAGGCAGGCGGATCATGAGGTCAGGAGTTCTTAGGACCAGCCTGGACAAGATGGTGAAACCCTGTCGCTACTAAAAATACAAAAATTAGCCGGGCGTAATGGCACGGCCTGTAATCCCAGCCACTGGGAGGCTGAGGCAGAGAATTGCTTAAACCGGGAGGCGGAGGTTGCAATGAGTTGAGATCGTGCCACTGCACTCCAGCCGGGGTGACAGAGGGAGACTCCATCTCAAAAAAAAAAAAAAAAAAAAAAATTAGCAGGGCATGGTGACACGCATCTGTAGTCCCAACTACCTAGAAGGCTGAGGTAGGAGGATCGCCTGAGCCTGGGAGTTTGCGGCTGTGTTTGCCACTGCACTCCAGTCTAGGTGATAGAGTAAGACCCTGTCTCAAAAAAAAAAAAAAATTTGTAAACTATTTTTTTACACTGGAAGGAAGAATTATTGAAATGATTAGCCAATGTTTAGGCTAATCAAGACTTGATATGGATAAGTTTTCTAACAATTAGAGTATTACCAAGATTTCTTAATTTGTACCAATCTAGTGGATATAAAATATTATTTCACAATGATATTATTAGTATTTCTCTAATTTCTAATAATGTTATCTTTTCAAGTATTTATTCACTGTTTGTGTTTCTTCTAAAAAATGCCTGCTCACGCCTGGGGTGCGGTGGCTCACGCCTGTAATCCCAGCATTTTGGGAGGCTGAGGTGAGTGGATCATGAGGTCAGGAGATCAAGACCATTCTGGCTAAGACAGCGAAACCCTGTTTCTACTAAAAATACAAAAAATTAGCCTGGCATGGTGGGACACACCCGTATTCCCAGCTACTCAGGAGGCTGACGCAGGAGAATCGCTTGAACCCGGGAGGTGGAGGTTGCAGTGAGCCGAGATTGCGCCACTGCACCCCAGTCTGGATGACAGAGCGAGACACTATCTCAAAAAAAAAAAAAAAAAAAAATCACAATTTTTGCAAAGCTAATTGTGTCATTTTCTCCTTTGGTTGCCTTCTAATATATGCAGGATAAAAGACAAGTTCCTAAGCATGGATTTAACACTTTTCATTGTCTTTACCCTTGTCTACCTCTCTAGCCTCACTTCCCAGTGTTGTCTGCCTCTCTCTAAATTCTCTAAAAATTCAAAATTGCTAGTTCATTGCTTCTATGCATTTGTTCATGGTGTTTCTTCTGTGGAATTTCCTTCTCATTCTTGCTGATAATGGCTAATATTGTATTCATCATTTAAGGCTTAGCTCTTCACATTTCCAGAAAGCCTTGTCTAACTCTTCTTAGGCTGACTTAAGACCTGCTCCTCCAAATTTCTATAGCACTCTGTGTATAACTCCATCACTGCATAGACTTTAGGCTCCTCAAGGGCATGGACGCTTTTTATCATTTCATCTGTAGCACCTAGCAGGATGCCTGGCCTACAGTGACACTCAAATGTAATTTAATCTCCATGAATGTGTGTTACATGTATAAGATTTAAGAGACATTATCTAAAAGGAAACTAGATAAGGATTGGAAATTCAGGAGAAAGATCTGGGCTAAAGATGGCAGTAATAGCTGAGGTCATGAAAGGGGCTACTATTTGCCGGGTGTGTACTGTGTAGTGGGCACAGTGCTAGGCATCTGTCATATATTCACAATTTTACAAGGTAGCAATTATATTTTATAAATGCAGAAGTAGGCTCAGGAAGGTTAAACAACCAGTTCAAGTTTCACAAAGCTAATAAACAATAAAACTGGGATTTGAACCAAGATCCTTCCATTACACAACACTGAATGAACTCAGGAATGTGTGTGTGTGACAGAGAGAGAGAGAGAGAGAGAGAAGGACGAAGAAGAGGCAGAAGAAGAGACAAGGAGACGAGGACAGAAGACATCTTGGAGATGGGTTTAGGAAGAAGTCAAAAAGGGACATAGAAATGGGAGAAACACTGTTAGGGACTGGTGTGTTGGGAGACAGTAAAAGATTTCAAGAAGAAATGATAACCATTTCAAATTCTTCAGAAAGATCAAGCAATTAAAGGACTGAAAAAAGTATTTTGAGTTCCAACAATATCTTTTGGCCACCTTGGAAACACCAGTAATTAGCAAAGTAGTGGGGAGAAGCTAGTGTACAACAGGTTGAGGAATGACTAGGAGGCAGGGATGTGACAATGATAAACAAGACTACTCTTTGGAGAATCAGCTATAAAGGTAAGGCAGGCAATATGTAAAAACCAAGGCTTGGAGGTTGTTTTTTTAAGAAAAACTTTTAAGATGTCATAGACATGAGCATATTTAAATACTGAAGAGGTAAACTCATTTGGGAGGGAAAATTCAAGATACCTGGGAGAGAATGCCTTCAGAAAGCACATTTTTTAGGAGGTGGAAGATGATATGCAAAATAACTATGGACAAAGGCCTATTCCAACTGAGATGTCAATGCATATGTTTGTAGCCGAAGTGAGAGAGCCAAAAATCTGGGTTTTTAATCTGTGAAGTGGGAAGAAATGAGGTCTGAGATTTCAAATATGAGCAACAAAACTCAGACTTTGATCCCAAACAGTTTCTCCCTACTCATTTTTTTTTTCTGTCGAATGGATCAATTAACATTCCCCTATTCACCCTGGCCTCAAACCTAAGTGTCATCTGTGATTTCTCCCTTTTTTCCCCTTCCTAATATCTAATGAAGTTTAAAATAGTAAGACTACAAAGGAGTCTGAGTATAGTTATAGATGTTAACTCTAGAAGTTCAGGTTATTAAGGTTGTTACACTACACGTCACTATAAGCAGCTGCTGTGAGGCAAAGTTCTTGGTGAGAATGGGTCAGTGGCAGAACTGTACCAAGTAAACACCTATCGGGCTTCATTGTGCATGCTCCCAGTCCAATACACTACCTGGAACACAGCAGACACACAGCGGGAACCAACGAATGAACGCTGGTGCTGGTGGGCCCGTGAGGAGAGTCACAGATTCACGGAATCGATTTGGACTTGGTAGAACCTTGGGGTCACCTAACCTCCTTTTTACAGATGAGGAATCTGAGGCCCAGAAAGATGAAGTACCTGCCCAAAGTCCAGAAGCGACTTAGCGCCAGAACTACAAAGGAGCAAACACAGTGCCAGGGGAAGGGGATCTAGGGAGCTGCAGGAATTGAACAGCAGAATGTGCACTGCCATTTGGTTTCCCCCTTACAATGGGACGTTTCCTTCTGTTCTCATCACACCCCAGCCCTGGTCCTGGTCCTGATCACTCCATGGGTCATTATCCCAACAGCATCCTGTCCTCCTCCTCTTGCCTCCCAAGCTACCCAACATTCCCAAGCCAGATCAACAGTCATCAAACATTGCTTTAACTCACTCCATTCCAGTTAAAAGCTTTCAAATAATTCCAACCTATAGGACAAAGTCCAAATAACTAACATTCTTAACCCCGCGCTCTAGTCCTGCCTACTTTCAACCGTCGCTCCTCGTGGAGAAATGCTCCATTCTGCCAGGCTCCCCTACCCATCATCCTCCAAGTTCCTTAGGCCTCTTCGTGCCAGGTCACGCACACGGTGCAGTAGGAGCCGGGTCCCCCTCCTCAGCCCCCAGCCCGGCCCTGGACACACCAGCTATCACACGCCCTGGTCAAATGAACCAACGGGCACGTGGTCGGCCTGCAGAACAGAACCCGAGCGAGGACATGCCCGGAACCTGCCTTCCCGCCAGTGGCTCAAAACCCCGCCCGCAGGCCCCGCGCCGCCTCAGACCGGATCCAGCTGGATTCCTCAGAGCGGCGCAACCTCCTAACAGAATTCTACCTCTTTCCCGGCCGCAGCAAATGGCGCTGCCCCTCTGGATCCGGAGCCGCCGCGGGTTCTGATTGGCCCATAGAGTTAGCCTGGGGGCGGGAGAAGAGCTACCTCAGGGAAGCTTGTGGAGCTGGGAGGTCGTCCCCGGGCGGCGAAGCGGCCATTACGCAGGCGTGAGTGAAACGAATAAACAAACAAACAAAACCCACTAGCCCGAGGTCTCCATTTCTTCCCCGCCCACCTTTCCCCCGCGTGGGGTCTCCGGTTTCCCAATCGCCACGCTTTCCCCGCCTTCGTCAACGTCTGGGTACGTCCCCCTAGCCGCGCTGGCCACGCACGTCCCGGCACTTAACCTCTGCCCGCCCGGCGCGAAGTTAGAGGCCGGGGTTGCGCGAGCAGCGCGCACTCCGGGCGGTGGGGAGCGGAGACAAGGAGCCGGAGCCGGAGCCGGAGCCCGAGCCCGAGCCCGAGCCCGCGGCCGCGGCCTGGCCCAGGATGACTTGCTACCGAGGCTTCCTCCTGGGCAGCTGTTGTCGCGTGGCAGGCGGCCGGGCGGCGGCGCTGCGGGGACCGGGTGCGGGAGGCCCCGCCGCGCGGCCCCGGCTGGGCGGTGACGGTGGCGGCCGGCGGCATCTGGGGCAGGGGCAGCCGCGCGAGCTGGCGGGCTGTGGCAGCCGCCCGGACGGCGGCTTCCGCCCCTCCCGGGTGGTGGTGGTGGCCAAAACCACCCGGTACGAGTTCGAGCAGCAGCGGTACCGTTACGCGGAGCTCTCGGAGGAGGACCTGAAGCAGCTGGTGGGTCCTGGCTCGGCCCCGCTTCGCTCCCGTGCTCGGCCGGGGCTCTGGTGGCTGCTGCGCCCCCTCGGGCGAGACCTCTCGGGACAACTCTTCCCAGGGCACCGCAGATGCCCGTCCTCCCTCTCTCGCGGCCCCCAGGTCCTCTGGTTTCTCCCTGGGTCCTCTTTGCCTCTGGGCGTGCGTGCGAGGGAGAGGCAGGGCCGGGGAGAGGGAGAAGGGTAGTATTCGTGCAGGGACTTCCGAGGCAGGGGCGCCGCGGGGAGGGCGAAGAGGGGCTGCCGAGTGGTCTCATAAGAGTGAAGGGTTTGGGGATTCGTTGGTGCCCTCGCCGACCCCGCCCTCGTTCGCTGGTTGGGTCCCACTCCAAGAAAGTGAGCCGTGACCTGAGGGCTGGACGCCCGGCGAACGGCTCCCCAGGACGCCCCGAGAAAGGGGGCCCGGGGCGCCGCTGAGAGCTGCAGGGGGAAAAGGGCCGAAACTGCCGCGGACACACCCCCTTTTACTCTGCAAGACTGCGAGGCCTAGGGCACTCCGGAAAGTCCTTCAGCCTGAGCCTTTTCCTTGCTGTAACGTGGTCGTTGGACACCTACCAGCTTGTTTTAAAAGCACAGGTCTTTGGTGCTGAGTAGGGAAAGGGAGAAAATGTGACTTGTATATATACGTTTTTAAGGGGAAATGTCAGGACAAGGGGCTGGTATACTGGGTAGTGTGTGAAATAAAAAGCCTGCGACTCTTGTGCAACAATATCTCCACAATAGACCATATTTGATACGTTTATTAGTATATATGCAAAAAGATACAAATCCAAGAGAAAAACCAGAGTTTGAATCTTCCTGTTGTCAACCCCCGCCCCCCCAACACTTTAAAAACAATTTCTGATGCCATACCCCCATCCACCAACTTTAGGAAAAGGAGAGTGCCCGGTGCTACCATGAGCAATATGTCCGGAAAAATCTCTTGGAAATCTCTTAATTGTTGGCGCTGTGCACCAAAAGGTTTTGGAATTAATTGCACATAACTAATTTAGTTTAATTCTGTGCAAGACAAGACAACCTGTTGGAAACCTCTGGTATCGTGTGATCTTAGCGAAGTTATTTTTTTGTAGAGGCGTCAAAATGAAATTATAAATCATCTTTGCTTAAGTGCTGAATCTGTTGTCAACATTAAACATCCTGCTTCTTTGTTGGGTTTATTGAAGAGGGCCTCTGCATTCACCTGATGGGAGTCTAAATTTGTAGATTTGTTTTCTGTTTCCTGAGTGTTTGAAAATGACTGTTTATAGAATACACTTGCATCATTTAAAGAATAAAACAGTTTGAACAGGAGGCTAGAGTAGTTGAGTTTGTGTTAGGGAGTGAAACTAGAGGTGAGGTATGGACTAGTAATGTCATAAGAAAGCACAGTGTTACTATTTGGGGAAAGTGGTATGTCCTTTGGGTTGTACTAATTTTGCAAAGTCTAGCTTGTAGAATTTGTCAAATGCCATGTATGCATGAATATGTGCATACAGTTTTATCGAAGCTTCCCACAACAATTTAAAATAGCTCACTTGGCATGTTTAAAGTGTGGGATTAAGAGTGAAGAGCTCAGTTCTAGGCCCCTGGTTCTGTGTGGTTAACTTCCTATGTGTGTTCTCCGGGCCTCATAGGTGGAAATGATACTTCTTGTGTAGTACTGTCCGTTTTCAAAGTGCTCCACCTAATTCAGTATGTGAATTGCTGAAGTTGTACCAGATAGCCTCCAAGGTCCTTTACAGTGCTGGCATTTTGAAACTGTGGATAACGTTTTCAAGGCCTCAAGAAAATGGGTGACATCTCAGGATTAACTCTTGGACCTCTGAACTAGATTGCCACTTCATAAAAAACTTTTAAAATGTAGGGAAAATCAATAAGTCTTAAAAAGTCAAACTACCTAAGTGTACCCATTCTGAGTGGAGAAATCTCTAATAAGGTAAATATTTGTCTATTGCTAGGTAATGCTGTTTGGGATAAGCCAGCTTTGAAGTAAAACTCCTGGGACTGTAGAATATACAGTTTTGTAATTGCCAGGCATTGGAATAGTTTTTGTTGATGTTGTTGTCATTACAGTTTTATTGGATAAGTTCCTTACTGATTTGAATTTGTGTTATAGTTTATATCAAGGCCCGTACTCAGAGTGCAATAGCATTAGTTGTAGCCCAGATGAGAGATTATTAATAGGCCAAAGAATACTGGGCTGTGTGAAGTTGTCCTAAAATGGGATTCTGTAATAGGAGTGATAAGATGATAAGTATTATTGGTTATATTGCTGGGGTAAAAAATACTAAGTTATGTGAATCATGTGAATTGGATATAAAAGAAAGTGGCCAAGTGTTTGAGTCTCACCATGGCTGCTGTGTCTATAGTGTCATGGTAACTTGGTTTTTTGTCAAAGCATTCTCTTTTGTTGTGGTGGTGGTGGTTTTTTTTTTTTTTTTATGTAAAACAGGTCTGTATTAGGCTGTTTGTTAAAATGCAAATGGAAGATGAAGGATAGAGTGCCAGTATAATTTTATACCCTGAAGGCTAATGATTTTCTAACTTTGTAGAAATGTAAACAATTACAGGAAATATTTTTTAGTTGATAAGGCATGCACAGAATAGGTTTACATGCTTCAAGCTAGTCAAAGTTTTGACTTTTATTTACCCTTTCATATTGGTTACATTGCTTTATTTTAAAATCTTGTCTTTTTCCCCATTGAGTGACCAGTGACTTATCTTGTGATATCAAATTTCTGGTCAAATATTTTAACTCTACTGTTTCATGACATTTCAAAAGCCAGTAAAACTATTACTACAATTTACTTGCTTCATTAAGAGACATAGCTGTTGGCAAATGTGGAACTGCTATTAACAGGGTCCTTAACACAAATTAGAACTCTAGATGAAACAGAACTGACTTGGAAAGGATTTTGACACCAGAAACATACCTCACTGGTCAAAAAAAGGTTTTATTTAAAGCTCTTTTTCACCTGTCACCAAGGATGGGGAACTGAATAAGGAAAAAAAAAATAGTTTAATATAGAACAAATAAGAAGTCAGCAGTTTCTACCCTCCTCTCCGTCATTCCAGGTCTCACAACTTGGCAACCCTTTTATTGGTGTCTACTTTTAGTTTTGTTTTCTAAAATTCAAAATGGGATAGAATAATTTCATTTAATAGTCTGCCGTGTTATTGGATTAAACTAGATGACTTGGAAGGTGTAGCACCTTGGATTTCCCTTTTGTTTTCTGAAGATTTTGTGGCTTAGGTTGTAGCACTTGGGTAGATAATACTTTTGCCACAGGGTATGCAATAAGTGTACCATGGTATAATTTTGTCAGGTGGTATACTTTTGCTACATTATATGCAATAAGTATATTGTATACAATATGATTATTAATCAAATAGCATGATTTGGAGTACTGCCGGAGCTTTCTAACTGAATCTTGCTCCTCTCAAATCTTCTAGACACAGACACCAGAGTGTCTATCTAAAGTGAGCATCTGGCCCTTTCCCTCTTCTGCTTAGAACTCCACAGAAGCTCCCTGTACCCTTTAGTCACCTAGAGTACTTGTTAAAATGCAGACACCTGAACCTTAGCCCCCAAGACTCTGACTCAGTTTGTGGAGAATTCCCAGACTTTGGTTTTCTGAAGTACACAGCTGACATTAATGACTCTGGCTGAATTCCAGGCATGTGTTTTATCCCTGGTTTGCACGTGGTCCCCAGTTACACTGAGAAACACGGTCATGGGCTCAAGTTCATGATCTTTAGAATGCCAGAAAAGTCCCTTCGTGAACTGGCTACCTCTTGAGCTTCACTTCTGATCACTTCTTGTCTTAAATTTCATATTCTGGCAATTTCAAACTGTCTTAATTTCCATTAGATGTTTTACTGATTTAGTTTAATTTATGGATCACTAGCACATAAAATGATTCAAAATGTAAAAGATACAAAATATTATACAATGAAAAGTCGTTCTGTTACTTGTCACTTGTCATTCAGTTTTGTCCCTGGAAGTAACTATTATCAATTTCTTGTGTTTTCTTCCAGAAGCAACCTATACCTACAAATCAACACAGTGAAATATTCTTTTTCTTTGCCTCATCTCTTTTTATTCAATGATAATATACTATTTAAGGTATTATGTGCCTTTTTTTTTTTTAGCCTAACAGCATTTGTGGAGATTGTCATAAAGAGCATTCTCATTCTTTTTAAAAACAGTGTGTATATAATTTTATTGTGTGTCCTAATTTATCTTCTGCTATTAAACACATTCTGAAATGAATAACATTTGTGTTTATATGCATGTAAATCAAGCTGTAAGACAAATACTTAAAGTTGAAATTGTTGAGTCAAAAGGCATGTGCATATACAATTTTAACAGATTTGGCCAAATTACTTCCCTTAGAGATTGTACAGATTTTTACTTTCACCAGCCCTGTACAAGGGGAATTGTTTTTCCATAAATAGTTTATCAAATTGTTGGGTCTTTGCCAACCTGGTGGGTGAAAGATGGTATTTCAGGGTGGTTGAATTTGCATCGCTCAGTGTCTACATGTCTACGTTTGTAGCCTCCTTTGATTTGAATGCTCTTCTTCCTCTATCCAATTCTTGTTTTGTTTTGTTTTGTTTTGTTTTTTGAGGTTTAGCTCAGACATTACTCTCTCAGGATGTCATCTTTGGTAACCTTGCTGTGCTTTTGCCTCTCTGTGGCTACCAAGATTGTGTTAGGCATTCTTCACTTCATAATACTTATCTGTGTTTATTTTCTTCTCTAGACTGTAAACTCTTTAGGGCAAGAATTGCATCTCCTTCATCATCCTCTCCAACCCCACACTTTCCACTAAAAAAAGTAGTAAGATCATTTTTAGGTCTTTTCTCCTTGAGGCTGGGACCAGCTTCCTTGTAGTCCAGGGTCAAGAGATGTGGACTAACAGTATAGATTTCAAGGTTACTGGGATATAGTTGGTAGGTCAGTTTCCTGGAGTGGGGAGATAACTCAGGGAAAATGAAGTGAGAGCAGATAAGAAAACCAAAGTTGGAACTTTGAGCAATACCAAGGGAGGAGGTCAACAGAATTAACAGAGGAATGCACAAATAGAGAACGATGGGGAAAATAAAGGTGATAGCCTGGGAGAAAGTAAGTGAGATAGAGGTGATCTAAGGTAAATACCAAATATATCTGAAGAAATCTTTAGGGTTCGATGCACTAGGTCTGATCATGTTAGGTAGATGGTTGACTATCTAGGTGTTAATTAGGTGCTGTTAACCTTTTTAAGGCAATTTTGAGTAACACTTAGAGTACCATTTAGTTAAATGTGTATGCTTTTCAGGGTGCCTAAATTATGCCTAGTGGATTTACATACTGAACTGTCATTGTCTCAAAAGTTTGTGCATTTATTATGTGTTAAATTTAAAAAGTCTCAACTCATTCCCTTATTAAGCTATCATAGAAATTACAGAGTGCAAAATAGCAATACTCAATAGTAAAACAAGCCTTAAAAATGTGTAATTGCAATAAATTTAGTTTTAGATAAGTAAAACTATCTGTGATAATTTAATAAAGGTGTTATAAACCATTTAGGTAATAGCATAACTTCACATCTGGATCTTAAAGTGTGCTAAATCTATCCATTCAAAATCTTGCTTTTTTTCCTTATGTGTCGTGTTTTATTTTAATATCAAAGCTGTGTGGAGAGACATGATCTTGGCTTTTGCAGATTCTGTAGGAGAAACTCTTGCTTATACTGAAATGTGTCTGTCTGTCTGTAGATCTCATGGAGTCACCTGCTTTTTCCAAGTGTCCTGGTGAATCTTTAATTATTTATTTATTTTAATGGAGAGAAGAATTAACAGGTTTTTGGGGAAAATATTATAGACTGTTACTAATAATGTTGTGTAACATTGCAGAGAATTGGGAATGTGTTCTGAATTTCAGTAATTTCTCTAACCTTTTAATGGTAAGACATTTTCTAAGAAATCATGTGTTCTTATTTTTGTCTGATTAAAGGAATGTTTTTAGATATTTGAAGTCATGTTATTTTCAAAGGTGTAGCAAGAAATTCTTACCAGCTTTTGCATATTCCTTTTAAACAAATATAATTATTGGACTTCACTACTCACTGGCTGTGGTGATTGAATGTGAGGGAAGAATTAAAGCCAGTTGCATAGTGATTTAAGCCTTTCTAACTGATGCTGTTTATTAAGTGATTTTCTTATTTTTTATCTGCCTTGTTTAGCCAGTTCATGTTAATAAAGCTTAATAGCCCAACCAGCAAGGTGTTTAAAGAAAATAAGAACTTACGTTCTCTAAATGAATGTTGAGCGTGACTTATTAGAAAATTAGTTCACAAGAAGAAATTTGAGTGGGAATAAGAATTTATGAACTGACATTTTTGCTTCAATGTTAAGTATTCTGATACTGACTGAACTTTGTATTTAGATTTGGAATTTTAGGAATTTTAGTATTGTTAGCAATCATAGAAAACTTGAAGTTTTTTGTTAGTTCTTCAGAACTTTTTCTCCCACAAATTCAGACCCTTTCGCCATCTCAAGCCAAAGTTCCCTAACAGTCAACTGCCAAGTATCTTATTTTCCCGGGGCTTGCTGAGAGCCAGAAAGTAAGCATAAAAGTTTCTGAACTCCCAGACTAGCATTTACAGGGCTTACATAGTAAGGTTTATGTGCTTTTTTCCTGGGTACATGTTCCATATTGTCCAAAGCAAAATTTGGAACATAAGGTAAAAAGTCTGGATAGGGAATTGAAGTATGAGGGCCAGCTGCTCTTGAAGTTTTATTTAAAGTAGAAGTGGTAAATTAGATGTAACTAATTCAAATACACAGTAAGCCTATTGCAGCTGCAAGGGCAGCACCAGCAGCAGCTGTTTCAGCAGTCCTGGCACCCCAATGTTAAAAAGAGTCAGAGTTAGGTGGAGGGATGGAAAGCATTCCAACAAGTACGAAGGAAGAGCTTGATGAAAATAGACCAAAGAGATTAGAGTGTAGGGAATGGGGAGGAAAACAGGTAGGAGAAAGGAGCAGAAGTCAGGTGGCATAAGCCTGAGAGTTGGTAGGGAGAATGCGATTTGTAGAGGGCATTAAGCTGAGGAAGAGACATGCTGTGGTCTGTCTGGTTTCTGTGTGGGGAATAATCTATAGGGCTCCAAGAGTGGAAGTAGGAAACCCCAGTTAGAGGCTTGTGCAGTGGTTCAGGTGTGAGATCATGAGTGGTAGAGGTGAAGAAAGAAAAGTGCTTGGATCAAACATAAGATCTAGTAATTGGATGTGGAAATAAGCAAAAATGGAGGCATCGGGTATGACTGTAGACTCTTGGCTTAAGCCATACTTGGGGAATTCTTGGGCCAGAAAATCAGGGGCTAGATATTGAACATGCTAGATATTGAATGAATAATAATAGTATTTAATTATTCAGTATCTGGCATGTTCAGTATCCAGCCCTCTAAATTTGGGGTGCCTGTTAGATATCCAAAGAAATATGTCAAATAAGCAGTTGAATAAATGTATTTGAAGCTTGGGAGATAGCAGTTGGGAATCATCGGCATCAGCATATAGATCTCTTTTAAAGCCGTGGAACTAGAGGTTGCCAAGGGAGAGGGTAGTGGTCCATACTCACTGAGAGGTGGTTAATGCAGTTTTAGTCAGTCTGTAGCTGGGTAAGGATAGTGGTAATCTGAATATTAATGCTATGTTTGTCCATATTAAGAAACTCTAGTTTTTCAAACTTTACTGACTTGTGGTGATTTGTTGATTATTTTAAATGAAGGAATTTTCTAGTTATTATCATAGTCAGTGTTTTCCTTTAAAAAAATATTGACGTTGGTAGCTTAAAGTTTAATGAGGCTTTTGGCTAGGCATTAAACTTTGGCACAGGCTGTCTAATCTATTGTAGTATATCTTGGTGAGTTAACATTTTATTAATTAGTTTTCACAATAGCCAAATGCTTCCTCAGCTTCTCTTTTGTGAGAACATACAAAGATTACAAAGTGAGGGCAAAACTATTTAAAAACTCTTAACCCAGTAGTCACAGACAAAAGATAGGGAAGGTAGGTATCAAAATATTAACCCTTTTTGAGCCATAAGATTATATTTGATTTCAATTTTCTTTAAATGTGCATCTTCCATATTGTTAGTGTTATCTTTATAACCTTTAAAAAGTAAAATATGTATTAATATGCTGTCTAAGAAATAATTTTACTTTATAGTTCAGTAAGTAATTATGATTTAAAACAAAATATTTCAGATTGTATATTAGGCTGAGTGTGGTGGCTCACACCTGTAACCCCAGCTTTTTTGGAAGCCAAGGTGTGTGGATTGTTTTTTTGGAAGCTGAGATGTGTGGTCTCAAGGAGTTCGAGACCAACCTGGGCAACATGGTAAAACTCCATTTCTACCAAAAAAAAAAAATAACAAAAATTAGTTGGGTGTGGTGGTGTGCACTTGTAGTCCCAGCTGCCTGGGGGGCAGAGGTGGGAGGACAGCTTGAGTCCAGGAGGCGGAGGTTACAGTGAGCTGAGATCGCACCACTACACCCCAGCCTGGGCAACAGAGCCAGACCCCGTTTCAAAAATATATATATTTATATATATATATATGTAGTAGCTATTTGAAAAACTGATTTTGTTACATAAAGAGGAAAGGTATAAGCTGGGCACAGTGACATGTGCCAATAATCTCATCTACTTGGGAAACGGAGACAGGGGAATCAATAGAGCCTAGGAGTCCAGGACTAGCCTGAGCAACATAGCAAGGCAGCATCTCAGGAACAAAAAAAAAAAAAAAAAGGAAAGGTATAAAGGAATTCGGAGGAGCAAAAAAGTACAAATAACACACTTTTGAATTCTAGCATTCACTGTAGTGAACAAATTTCCTACTTGGTGATTAAATGGATGTTCATTAAGGACATTTCTGAACTTTTTTCTCTACATTTACTTATGGATTATTCATAAGAAATATACTTTTTAAAATTTTAGGGTGAGATAGTTATAAAATGTTACTCCAACTAGGAAAAATAATTCTTGAAGGATATATATATATATAAAAAAAAGTTACCCTTTCTAAGGGAGCTAGTCAGCCCTTTGTTTAGATTGCATAGGGTAAATTCCAAATAGAGTTTATAAATCTGAGAACAAGAGAGAAGCAAATCCAAGTGGAACAAAGGTCATCTAACCACCTCTACAAGTATTAGTTTATCTTTGGTCGTCAGGTAGCCATATGCAATGTGTTAAAAAGTCATCAACACTGAGGCAGGAGAATGGCATGAACCCGGGAGGCGGAGCTTGCAGTTAGCTGAGATTGGGCCACTGCACTCCAGCCTGGGCGACAGAGCGAGACTCCGTCTCAAAAAAAAAAAAAAAAAAGTAAGTCATCAAAAAAATAAAAAGCTTAAGCTGTAAAACATAAGATATTGAGATCCTGGTAACTATATGATTCAGAAAACATAGTGCTGTATTTGGTATTAAAGCCAAATTATAATTTTCTGATATCAGGCTTTCTAGTTCAATTTGTACTGGTAGGTTTCACAGGTAGTTATTAAAATATATTTTCAAAAAATTGTATTTTATATGGGGCTTTTAAAAAACAATATTAGAGCATCATGTGTAATATATATTAGTAAAACAACATTTTTTTTGTTTTGATATAGCTTGCATTGAAAGGCTCTAGCTACAGTGGACTTCTTGAACGACATCATATTCACACCAAAAATGTGGAACATATTATAGATAGTTTACGGTAAGTTTGTGGGATTGGGTCTTGGGTTGGATTTTATATTCAGGACTTCCAGTTCTTATTTTGTACTAGCAGCCCATTCTTAGGCTTTTAGTGTTGATTGTTACTATAAAATCATTTTCAGAAAATTATATCGAGGTTAATGGATCTGATTTTATAGCATCTTTAAGGAAATATTTATTCTCTGAAAATGTCACAAGTATTTTCAATTATTTGATCTTCCAGAGAAATGCATTTTCTACAGAGTTAATTCAGTTACACAGCTGGCTTCAACTGTGTAATGTTTTATTTATTAAAACAGACTAGTGGATTATATGAGTGTTCATTGTAATAATATTTTTGAGTGATTGAAAATTATAGAAACTTCTGTCCAAAAATTACAGAAACTTCAGTTAATTCAGAACTAAACACAATTATGTGTGTACAAGAAGGTCAGTGTGAGAAACATGTGAATTACAAAGTGTTTCGTCACTGTTCCAGTGTCTGGTACTCAATGGATAGTTGTTGGATTTAAAATAACGGCCATTCAGTTTTATAGTTTAAAAAATCGTCACTCTAGGTGTTAGTCTTCTGGACCGTTTTTGTACTATGAATTTAAGCTTTAGAAGGAGTAGAGAAAATGAAATTCTAACTAATACTACTATTCACTAGTGGTTATAAAAGCTTTTAAAGCACATGGAGATTTGGGATATAACTTTTGATTTATTCATATGCTTCCTTAATTATCATAGTTAATTGGCTGTTGTAATTAAATGATAACAACGATAATGCTATAAAGCTCCATGTATATTTGCTTATAAGACACAAATTTGTTTATTTTACATCTCTGTTGTAATCATCTGCCTCTCAGAAAACACACCCCTGTTATATATATATTATTAGTGGAAATTTCATATAACCTTTCCTTTTTTTTATCCTAGGAATGAGGGAATTGAGGTTCGTCTGGTAAAGAGGAGAGAATATGATGAAGAGACTGTTCGATGGGCAGATGCTGTCATAGCTGCAGGAGGTAATAATTTTACAGAAGTAACGATGTTGTAATATACAAATGTTGTTTAATACACATTATTTCCAGATACCCTAGAGTCTAGCTATATTGAAGCCGTCAGAGTCTTACCATTAAACAACTTTTTGGATTGTTACGATTAGGTTTAAAACTTCTGTTTTATACAAGTCTACTTTTTAAATGAATGATGTTACTGTGAGGTTCCTTGTGTATATTTAAGGTATGCATTTAACTTCAAATATGATTCAAAGGATCAGTTATTGTATTTTGGTATAATTATAGCAGTTTTAAGAAAAAAATGAAGTTGATAAAGAGTTTAATGAGATGAGGTAAATTCTATTCCTCTTTGGTCCCAATATACTTACTTTTTTCTGAACTTTATCATTAAGTTAATGGCTACTGTTTCTAAAACTTTAAGTTGACAGCAGGTGATGAAGAGAAAAATTTGAAGTTGGACACATTGGATATGTTTTCATTAAAATAATTTGTGAATTTGGACTGGTGTTATGGGAGAAGGAAAGAAGATTGGCTAGTAGAAATTTTTGGATTAGATTAGTGGTTACCAACTGTAGGGTGCTACTAGTATGTAAAGGGAATACCTCTAAAACATTCTACAGTGTCCCCACAACAAAGAATTACTCTGCCTAAATGTAATCTTGCCACTTACGAAATCCTGGATTAGAGTGGGAGAGAGAATCCAAAGGTATAATAGGTAGAAAGGGAGTGGGATAGGCTATAGCAGTTAGCAGGGTAGGGTATGATTGTTAAAACTACTAATTTTCAAAATGGCCAAAAACTGAATTTATAACAGAAATCTGGTTATGTCTTATATTTTGTCTTATGTTCCTTAGGTGATGGCACAATGCTGCTGGCAGCAAGTAAAGTCTTGGACAGACTTAAACCAGTTATAGGGGTAAACACTGATCCAGAACGGTAAGAAAGAACATATACTTTTTGTTTGATTTGTGTGGTGTGCTTTTTAATTTTTTTTTAGGTTATACATACATGCATTTCTGCGCTGCTTGCATAGTATCTTTTTATGGTCTGTCTGAAAATTTGGAAGCTATTCTTTATTTTCTTGACCATGTTCACATTCCTGGGCTCTGTTACTACAGACATTTCACTATGGTGTATGGTGTCTAAGTGGAAGCATGATTGTTCCTGGCCACCGTGAACATTAGAACCATGTTCCAGAAACATTCTAGTAATGAAATTTAGGTATGTAGAATTGAGTAGGATTGTCTTTTATGTAGTTGTTTTCAAGGATATAGCTCTAGTTTTAACCTCAGGCATGAAAAATATATATACATGTAGCTAGCATTGGTGGTAGGAGAACTGGGATGGACCAGTTCTCATATTTTAGCTTCCCAGGTAGTTTGGGAGTAGGATCTGTGGCATAATAGACCTGAGTTCTTGACCCAGGTGAGTGTTGGGGACCTTTGGTATTGCTGAGGAGGGACAAGTTAATAATGATCCATTTTCTACCCTTCCTTGTGGCTTGTATTTATATTCTTCGTTATGCTACCACTGATTTTTTTTGGGGAGGTGACTTTACTGACTTAATAAAAAGACCTATCCAAACACTATTGGCACTTTTTTTTTCCTTCCTCAGCTTTGTGATATTTACCCTCAGTCTGTTCTAGCCACCCACAGCTGTGACTATACCTGGACTTTCTGATGATTTGGAATTTCCCTATCTCTACAATCCTAATTAATTCCACTCTGACTGCAGCCTCCTACCTTAACAGCAGTCTTACTACTTTATCCCACTAAATCTGCCCTTTGACTTTCAGTATTTTGATCCCTTCCATTTTCTCCACTTACTTCTTCCTCACTTCATTTACTTTCTTAAATATTTCTTTCTTTCCTTTTCTATTTCTTTTTGTTTTTTTGAGACAGAGTCTTGCTCTGTTGCCCAGGCTGGAGTGTAGTGGTGTGCTCTCAGCGCATTGCAACCTCTGCCTCCTGGGTTCAAGTGATTCTTCTGCCTCAGCTTCCCGAGTGGCTGGGACTACAGGCATGCACCACCACACCTGGCTAATTTTTGTATTTTTAGTAGAGATGGGGTTTCACCATGTTGGCCAGGCTGGTCTCAAACTCCTGATCTCAAGTGATCCTCCTACCTTGTCCTCCCAAAGTGCAAATATTTCTTCATCGTTACCTTTCTGCACAATTCTAGATCAATCTGACCATCATCCTTTCTACTTCTGCATCAGTACTGCTGTGGTCATCTGGGGAAAAAAAGATCATTGGGTTTGGTGGCACTTGCAGTTTGTAGTCTTCAGCACTTAACAGTGGACTCAGAGTTGCACACAAACTTCCTGTGTAGCCCTACTCATGTCTCTTCCCCATTCTCTGTGGTGGCTGCTTCAGTAGTTCAACTTTTGCATTCACCTTGCTTCCCTTATCCTTCCTCCTTCAATAAACCCACCTTTTTTTCACAGAGGATTTGAAAGTCACTGGATTAGAACTACTTCACCTTTTCTCCTGCTTAAAAAAATCTTGTCCTATCATGTTGTCTTTTTTTTCTCTCCCTTCACACATGACTCCTTTTAGCCTGAAAAGACTTGTTCAAAACTCCTGTTTTTCAAGAAAATTTAAAAAATCTTTTACCCTGTGTCACTCTCTTGGTTATTATCTCTTTTCCTTCCACTTATCCCCAAGCTTGGTTATCTGCACTTCTTCAGTTCTCAGTTATTTTCTAAAACTTTGCAACTTTTTTATGGATTTGCCCCCAACCAGTTCATTGACATTGCTTTTGCCTTAGAGATCAGTGATATCCTCGTTACTGAATTTACTGGATATTTTAGTCCTTGTCTTACCTGATTTCTGGGAAATTTTTGGTGCTAACTGCTCCCTTATTTCTACTCTACGTTGTTTGCATTTATGATACCCCTTTCTTCCTATCTCTGTGACTACTTCTTTGTCTGTATCTCTTTTGAAGGATCTTACTATTTGGTTCCTGGCTAAATACTGGTGTTTTTACATATTGTGCTCTGGGCCATCTTTTTTCTTCTTCAATTCCTATATTGTCTCCAGGGAGGCTGATTAATACTGTGGTATTGGAGTCCCCTGGGACTGCAGAATCTTTATTCCAACAGATAAACTCTTAATTTTTTACTGTGAATAGGGTGAAAAACTCCTTCTGGTTTTCTTGGAACTTTCCTAGTTTTAGCACTGAAAGTCCTGTGTCCCAGGAGAATGTCAGTCCCAGGCAAACCAGGGGACAGTTGGTCACCTTAAATGTGATATACAGGCTATACATTATCTGGCCCTTTACCATTCTCTGTCCTTATTGCCTATTATTTTTCCCTTCATTCTATTCTAGCCACACTGGCCTCTACTTTGGATATATCCAGTGGTATTAAAAATGTAACATGTACAAATAAACTCTACTTTTCTCTCTCCCATCATTCTTGATGAATGGAATCATCTTTGCTGAAGCTGTAACTATCTCTCCCTCACTCTATCATCAAATTGGTCCTAAGTTCTAGGGAACTTACTTTTGAGTCCATCTCTTGCCATCCTCACTGCCACTGAAAATAGCTCAGCCCTTTATAGTTGTTTAAATTACTGAACAAGCTTACAGTCTCTCTCCTTCTAACTCATCCTTTACACATTGTCTTAGCTTCTTTCTGAAGTACAGATCTAATTGATTATACCCACTCCTTATTAAAATCTTTTAGTTTACCATGACCTTCAGGATACATTGTAAATTCCTTAGCATAAAATATATTATCTTTCACTGTCTCTTGCCTATTTGCTTTTCTAGTTTCACCTGTCCTCGTATGTCCACAGGCATGACACATTCTTTAGCTTAAAAAATGTATTTTTGGAAACTGTTCTAGGATCAACCTAGGATCCTTTCTAAAAGGCTGTTCTTAACTGCAAAATGTAACTATATGAGTGTCCACCAACATGCTGGTTAGAGGCTCACGCAGGGATGCTTTTACTCTGGCGGGGAGCTTTGTTGATATATAAGATCCAGGGCATGATTTGAGAGTAGGTGAAAGAGTTCTCCAGAAAGGCCCATGTCCCCCCAACCCACCCACCCATGCCTTTGTATGTGCTTTTGTCGAAAGTTCCCTTACACCACTTACTCACTTCTGTGGTTCTTGTTTGTTCAAGACTGGGATTTCTCCTGGGTTGTAATTCCCTCTACAGAAAGCACTTATCCCTATATATTTATTTTCTGTTTCTTTTTCTCTTCCATTAGACTATAAATTCCTTGAGTATAGGACCTTGTATTTTAATTTCTCTGTCACTAGCATAGTTTTATACATAGCTGGTATGTAATAAATACTTGAAAAATGAATGATTAAGTGATTTTAGGGAATAGGGATAGAACCCCAATCTAGCTGAGTAAATATTCCCTAAATGTAAATAATTGAGATCATTGGTTCAGTAATTAATTTTTAATTGCCATCAATGTTGATGCATGTGGGTTTTAGAACTTCTTAATGGCTTATTTTTATATCATTAAGGTAAAAGATTCTTAACTTTAGTGATCATATGTTACACAGTTTATTGAACTATATTTTCTTTTGAAAACTGGCTTCATATTCATAAATTTGTGGGAATTTGAAGCTGGCAAGCAATTGTTAATATTGTCATCTCTTCTCTATTTTCTACCTAGAAGAACAGGTGTTAGAAGTTCTTTGGTTTCTCTTCTTGCCTCCAGGCAAGCCAGAGTTGCCTTCTGGTTTTGTGTATGCTTCAAGTTATCTGACTTCTTTATCTTAAATATGGTGGTATCTCAGTCCTTCAAAAAAGCTTCAAAAAAGCTCACAGCTTCAAAAAAGATCAGAAGTTAATGTTCAACTTAAGTTGAACAACTTAAGTTGTTCAAATGTTGCATAATAAATCATCTCAAAACTTAGAGGCTTATGATGGTAACAGTGTATTATTTCTTATGGGTTGTGCATGTTAGGAGTTCAGGAGCAGTTTGGCTGGGTGGTTTTGGCTTGAGATCTCTCCTGAGTATAAGCAGGTGTCAGCTTGGTCTGTAGGCATCTGAAGGCTTGACTTGGGCTGGAGGATCCACTTTCAAGATGGCCCACTCACATGGACTCATCTAAATCAAATGTGTAGTTTCTGTCTGTCTCTTCTGTATTCTACAGCCACTCTACTGAGCCTGGTAAATAATTACAACATTTGAAAGCTTAATATTCAAAATGGGATAGAGGGCATGTGGGTAGTCAGCCTCCAAGGTAGCTTCCTAGTATTTAGGTACCCTTTAATGTACTCCTACCTGCACCCCAATAGTCAATCAAGGATGGCCTATGTGACCAGTAGAATATGGTGTGAGAATGTGTAGGTCCCAAGACCAGGTTTTAAATGGTGTTACAGCGTCTATATTGGTCTTGAGGATTGTTCATTATGGGGTAGGACAGCCACCATGATATGAGGATGCTCACAACAGCCCTGTGGAGAGGCTCACATGGAGGGGAATTGAGGTCTCCTGCCAACAGCCAGCACCAAGTTGCCAGCCATGTGAGTGAGCAACCCTGGAAGTGGTCGTGCTAGCCCAAGTCAAGCCTTCAGATGCCTGCAGCCCTAGCTGATATCTGACTGTAACCTCATGAGAGAGTCTTCTCTCTACAGAGGTTTTAGACTTGCAGTTGACCTCAGCAGATATTATGCTATCAAATGACTGTTGATACCTTTTATATACTTAACATTGCGTGAAGTATTACAATGAATATAAGAATTTAAAAACCTAGGCCTTACGTTTTCTTAACCTCAGTGTTGACCCGCTTAGATAAAGAAGTTTACTATTCACAACTTTGTAAAAACATTTTTCTCTGGTCTTAACACTTACAAGTTGATTTACATTGATTATCAGGAGTTTGTTTTCCTAAGCCTGCCCTCAGCCTTTTCTTCAAGATTGAAGTATCATTAAATGATGATGACTGAGCCTTCTGGACACATCTTTAGGTGCCACATACTCTCATCTACACCAACCAATAGGCAGTCTTACCACCTTATAATTTGCAATGATTTATTTTAATTTGTCTTCCACATCAAGCTATGAACTCCTTGAAGGAGTTTCATTATTTATATATTTTTGAATAAATGAAGGATTACATTGGATTAAGCTTTCTCAGTTCTTTTTTAGTGACTTAGGATATCTTAAATGACATTTAAAAAGGAATTATGGTTCAAAACATTTCACATAAATATTTTGATTCCTCAGAATCACCTTTTGAGATTGCTGGTTTGTCCTGATTTTGGAGATGAGGAAGCTGATGCCAAAGTGACTTGCCCAAAGTTAATAGTTAAATAATTTAAAGGTTAGAATAAAAATTTGAAGGTTAGTAGTTAAATAATGTAATTATTTGAACAACACTGTACCATTAGGTAACTTTACAGGGTAATTAGTGGCAGATTTGCTGCTATTTTTAGTTTCATTGTAATGTAGAAACTCACATATTATTGTGTATTATGGCATTAAAGCTGGATGTAGACTACTAACTCTATGTGGTCTTTTTTATTTTTGTTGAAAAAACACAATTTTGTGGCAAAAAAATGGAATATAGAGTAGAAATTTTTAGAATTTCATTTCTTAATTTTGTAACTTAGTGATACCTTTTGATTAAATTTTTTTGCTTCACCTTTTTTTCTTTTCCTCTTTATATCACCAAAAAATTCCTGTTAAAATACAGGTCTGAGGGTCATTTATGCCTGCCCGTTCGATATACACATTCCTTTCCAGAAGCCTTACAGAAGTTCTATCGTGGTGAGTTCAGGTAGGAATTTCTTACAGTTTTTCTTATATAAGTATCTTAATAAGTATGTGCCATTAATAAATCTGTTAAAAAACAGAACAAATCAGGCAGGGCACAGTGTCTCAACGCCTGTAATCCCGGCACTTTGGGAGGCCGATGCGGGTGGATCTCTTGAGCTCAGGAGTTCGAGACCAGCCTGGGCAACATGGTGAAACCTTGTTTCTACAAAAAATACAAAATTTAGCTGGGCATGGTGGCAAGCACCTGTAGTTGCAGCTGTTTGTGGGGCTGAGGTGAGAGGATCACTTGAGCCCAGGAGGTAGAGGTTGCAGTGTGAGCCGAGATCGCGCCACTACACTCCAGCCTGGGCAACAGAGTGAGACTGTGTCTCAAAACAAACAAACAAAAAAACCAGAACAAATCAGATAATGTTTGGATTACTCCATAGATATAACAGTAGCCATTAAAAGTAATGTATTAGCTGAGTCACACATAGGTCTAATTTACCTTCTCCTAGTCCAGTTGGAACTGTGGAGAGAAACCCTGACAAATGTTGGTTGGCCTATAATATAACTGCATATAGAGATTTTTTTCTCCTTCAGTGAGATAGCAGCCACGTCTCTACTTTCTTAACTTCGTTACTTGTCCTTATCAGTTTAGTGGAAAGGTAGTTAAAACTTTGGCTAAAATTGTTTGAATTTTTAGATTTTATATTTTTTATCTTTGTCTCCCATCTAGTAATGATTGAGAGTTGGATTTAATCCAACCATGCTGAGATTCCTGGTATCTGTCTCACATAAAAGTATTTCTTAAGTAGTGGGGATGGGATTTTTAAAAATTTCTTTTACTTAATGTGTTCAGTGGTCATACCATCAGGAAAACAGGAAGGTGGAAGAAGGAGCATGAGGTTGGCCAATTATATTTGAGAGAGCCAAGTTGGACTACTTTTTATTTTCTGACTTGGACTATATTTTATAGGTGGGGAAAGCTTTTCCCACAGATATTTGTGAAGTTGTATTACATCTTCTTGACTTTTCTAGAATCATTTCATTACCAATAATTCTAGTTTCTAGTCATTTCAGAAGTTTGACAACTTTAGAAATGGCTAATTTATACCTACCAAGTGGAAGTATATTTTTGTATACTTACCAAGCAGAATCTGTCCCATTGACTTTCGATACATTGATTATTGGTTTTGAAATCAATTAAATCTGATTGTTTTTTTCCTTTTAGCAGAGATGTTATTTAAATTTTTAGGTATAATCAAAACTGTTTTATTTATTGTTTCTTAATCCTTTTTTCCTTTTATTGTTTAAAAAAAACTGCATTACAAAATTTGTGGAGAGGGATTTTTATCTAATCCAGCCATCTGAACACAATATTATTTTAATTTAAGTTTGCTCTCTTTTTTGTATAATATTTTTTGCTGAGCAAAGCACAGACTATATCTTGCTCAGTATCTTGGACTTTATGGATTCTTGATAGAGTTTGACTTAATTTAAATTACTTGGGAGATTTTGTACAAGCACATTAGGTATTTCCATTATAATTGAAAAGAGAATAAATATTCAAATCTGTCATTGATAAGGAAGCTATAGACTTTAGGTGTTTCTGATATAACTTATTCATGGAATAACTAGTAACTTTTTTATTAACTATTTAATTTCGTTAAATTATTATAATGTGTACTCTTTAATTTATTCTATTTTAACATAATTCGCCTTTTCTTCACTTTTCTAAGGTGGTTGTGGAGGCAGAGAATCAGGTTATACCTTGAAGGGACTGGCATAAACCCTGTTCCTGTGGACCTTCACGAGCAGCAGCTAAGCTTGAATCAACACAATAGAGCCCTTAACATTGAAAGAGCTCATGATGAAAGTAGGTGGATTGGGCATCAGATGTGTTTGGGGAAATATTTAACTCATAGTTCCTTTGACCTCAAATTTTTTGATGTAATAATTTATGATTAACTTGTTTTTAGTTTCATTAGTGGCACTTAACAAAGAATAGTGAATTACTTCAATTGTAAAGTTTATTAGAATCTGAAGTAAGAAATAATAGCATATTTCTAGATGTTTTCTAGGACAGATTTGAAAACTAGCTGATTAGGGAAGGATTGTAAAGTATCTGATAAGATAGTTGATGTTTGAGAAAAGATTCTTGGCCTTAATCTTTGAAATGTCAAAAAAAAAAAAAAAAAAAAAGGGAAGCAGTAAAGATGAAATGAGCTAATCTGTGGAAGATTATGATGTTTATACATTTTATATAGTTAAATATATGAAATATATTTGTTGGGAAATTTTTTTTTTTTTTTTTTTTTTGAGACGGAGTCTCGCTCTGTCACCCAGGCTGGAGTGCAGTGGCGCGATCTCGGCTCACTGCAAGCTCCGCCTCCCGGGTTCACGCCATTCTCCTGCCTCAGCCTCCCAAGTAGCTGGGACTACAGGCGCCCGCCACCTCGCCCGGCTAATTTTTTGTATTTTTAGTAGAGACGGGGTTTCACCGTGTTAGCCAGGATGGTCTCGATCTCCCGACCTCGTGATCCACCCGCCTCGGCCTCCCAAAGTGCTGGGATTACAGGCGTGAGCCACCGCGCCCGGCCTTATTGGGAAATTTTACATTCCAGCCTTAGGATTTGTGCTTGAAATATTTGTGTAGCTTAGAGAATATTAGCATAAGGTGATTTGGCAGCTTTTTTTGTTAGGAGGGTTAAAGCGAATTCTCCATTTTGAGCCATATTTTCCCACTTTTTCTAGCAAATGTAGGACTTTAATGATGCAAGAATATCCCAAAAGAAATCTTAAATATTTGTAGACTGTATAAAAAGATACAGTTTTCTCCTGTGTTTTATTTTCTGGATAAATTTATCAGGAAAAGCTACTTTTACATTTTTGCTTTCTGCCTCTGCTCTTTCATGGTACCTGAGGTTTATATCCACTTATTCCAGAGTTTTTCGTGGTGACTTACAGCTTTATAGGTTAGCATGTTTCTAAAATGTGTGTTTATGTTGTATTTTAAAGGTTCTCCTCCAAAAAAAATTATATTTAAAAAAATCTTAAATTATATGTGCATGAACTTCTATTATTGTTTTTGAAAGTCTGCAGTAACTATTAAGCACAATTTAAAAATAATAGTTAGAAATTTTAATCCCTCACTGAAAGAAGTTACTGCTACCAGCAATAGATGGTAGATTTAACTGTCTTCACCAGCAGTCTTATAAAAAGATATAGATTGGTATATAAAGAGTCACTGCTCAGATTCCTCAGATTTACTGTGTTTAGTTTATAAATGAAGTTAGTATTTCATATATAGAAACAATATTACATACAAAGTTAGTGAATCATAGCTCAGCATCTAGGATGTTCGTATCTGATTAATGGTAGTTCCAGAAAAAGAACAGAAAAATATTCAAAATCAAAAAATTATACATGATGATTTCTCAAAACAGTCAGGGGAAATTATTCAGCACATTGGTCTAGGCAAAGATTTTATGGCTAAGACTTCAAAAGCACAGGCAACAAAAACAGAATAGACAAATGGAGCTATATTAAACAAATCTTCTCCATAACAAAGGACGCAAGAGTGAAGAGACAGCCTATAGAATCGGAGAAAATACTTGCAAACTATACATCTAACAAGGGACTAATATCCAGCATATACAAGGAATTCAAACAACAAACAAACAAACAATCTCATTAAAAAGTGGCAAAGTTTCTGAATAGAAGTTTCTCAGAAGACATACAGATGACCAACAGCTATATGAAAAAATGCTCAACATCACTAATCATCAGGGAAATGCAAATCAAAACCACAGTGAGATATCATCTCTCCCCAGTTAGAATGGCCGTTATCAAAAAGACAAAAATAACAAGTACTGGCAAGGATGTGGAGAAAAGGGAATTCTTATACACTGTTGGTGGTAATGTAAATAAGTAAAGCCATTATGGAAAACAGCATGAAGGTTTCTCAAAAATCTAAAATAGAACTCCCATACAATCTAGCAATCCCACTACTGGCTATTTATCCAAAGGAAAGGAAATCAGTATAGCAAAGGGATACTGGCACCTCATGTTTGTTGCAGCCCTATTCACAATAGCCAATTATGGAGTCAAAGTGTCCATCAGTAGATAAATGAATATGGAAAATATGGTGTATATATATACACAATGGAGTACTATTCAGCCATAAAAAGAATGAAATCCTGAGATTTGCAGCAACATGAATGGAACTGGAGGTCACTATGTGAGGTGAAATAAGTCAAGCATAGAAATACAAATATCACATGCTTTCATTCATATGTGAGAGCTGAAAAAGTTGATCTCATGAAGATAGAGAGTTCAGTGATAGTTACTAAAGCCTGGGAAGGGTGAAAGGTGGGATGAGCAGAGGTTGGTTAATGGGTACAAATACGCACTTAGATGGAAGGAATAAGTTCAAGCATTCAGTAGCATAGTAGGCTGATTATAATTAACAATTTATTTTATATTTCAAAATACCTCATTTCAAAATAGCTGAAAGAGAAGATTTGAAATATTCCCAACACAAATGACAAATATTTGAGGTGATGGATATCCTAAATACCCTGATTTGATCATTATACGTTGTATGCGTGTATCAAAATATTACCTGTTTTCTATAAATATATAGTTAATATGAATCAGTTAATACTTTTTAAAAATTTCAATTAGGAAACTTAGGCAAGAGTTTTTGAATTGAAAGGACCCACAAAGTGTTTCACATAATTAATGGTAAAATGTTCTTCACCAAGGTTTGTCAGAATACAAACAGCTACTGCAAGCTTCCAGAGAGGAGAAGGAGATGGAGGGGGCGGTGGCTGGAGCAGATTATTTCATATACACTTATCCCTTGGTACCTGAGGGGGATTGGTTCTAGGACCCCCAACAGATACCAAAATTCGAGGATGTTCACATCCCTCATAAAATGGCATAGTATTGGCATATAACCTCTGCACATCCTTCCCTATACTTTAATAATCTTTAGATGATGTGTAATACCTAACACAATGTAAATGCTATATAAATAAAGACTGGTTGTATTAATATAGAGAGATGAATTGGTTTAATAAACAATCCCAGAACACAGTGACTGAATGCAAAAGCTTATTTTTAACTCATCTCATTGTCCAAGGAGTTTTCAGGCAACCACAGCTGCTACCAAATAGTGGCTGCTACCGTATTTTAAGGCCTCTGAGTCTTCTATTGGATCCTCTGTATCTTGTGGGGAGAAAACAGAGAACATAGAAGATCTTACGGGAAGTTTTAGGAACTAGGCCTTTTCATTAATTTTGTCCACATTCCATTGGCCATTACTAGTCACATGGCTCCATCCAGTGCAAGTAGACCTGGAAAAAGTTTAGCAATATGACATTGTGAGAGAATTACACAGTGTAGTAGTTTGTGTCACTAGTATTACAATTCTGTGTTTAAAAATACAAATTATAATTTTGTAATCTATTCACTTGGATAAAAAGTAATTGGTGGCCGGGCACGGTGGCTCACGCCTGTAATTCCAGCACTTTGAGAGGCCGAGGTGGGTGAATCACCTGAGGTCAGGAGTTCGAGACCAGCCTGACCAACCTGGTAAAACCCCGTCTCTACTAAAAATACAAAATTAGCCAGGCATAGTGGCGCATGCCTGTAATCCCAGCTCCTCAGGAGGCTGAGGCAGGAGAATCTCTTGAACCCGGCGGGTAGAGGTTGCAGTGAGCCAAGATCGTGAAATTGCACTCCAGCCTGGGCAACAAGAGCTAAACTCTGTCTCAAAAAAACAAAGTAATTGGTATGGAGTCCATCTTTTCATGTCCCATTGAGACAGGTTTTAAATGAACACAGTTCCGTGATTAGATAAGGTTTAGTAGTGAATTAGTATGAAAAAATAAGCAGAATTAAGATGATTAATGAGATTTGAAGCAATTTTATTTATTGTCTAACTCATTTGATGAAAGTTTGGAATTGAAATTCAATAAGCACATGTAATAAAAATGTAATATGGAGAGATAAATTAGGATGAGGGAAAATGAGAATAGAGGTAGAAAGTCAAGACCATATAAAAGGGAAACATGATTACAGTTTGATGGTGAGAGCTCAAATTTAGTGGTGATATGGAGTACCTATTGTTGAGCATTTGTAGGAAATCTGTGGGGATAGTAATCTAAAACAAATTTCATTAGTAATTATTTAAGGAAAAGTAATTTAAACAATAAATTTTAGCCATTTATGTTTGTAAAACTGTCAAGAATGAGAATGTGAATATACGTAGTACCTAAGACAGTTTAAAGCCAGTTTTAGTCTTATGTGCAATCAAATTTGATTAAACATATCAAATCTTTATATATATGTGTGTGTGTGTATATGTGTGTGTGTATATACATATATATGACTAAAACTGGCTTTAAACTATATATATATATAGTTTTTTGTATCAAGGTCTTTCTCTGTATTATGAAGTTGAGCTGATAATTTAGGTAAACAATAAGTACTCCAAGGGTACTTGGTATTGTAATAACTTGTTATATTTGAAAGAATAATTGGGTTCCCTTTAGGCAGTTATAGTCCAAAATAAATGAGAAAAATGTAATGTTCAATTTAATAAACATAATAAACAGAAGAATATAATAATTAGGCTACCAAGTCAAAGGAGAAGAATAGATCAATGTGGTCTTGGTGACAGTGGTGGTTTTATTGGTGTATTTGGTAACTATAGTGTATTAGGTAACTATTGTTGTATAACAAATCACTCAGCTTAGCATCTTAAATGTAAATATTTATGACCTCACACAGATTATAAAGGTCAAGATTCTAAGAGTATGGCTTAGCTAGTTCTGGTGTAGGCAGGAGGTGACAATCAAACTGTTGGCCAGGACAGCAGTATATGAAGACATGCCTGGAACTGGAGAACACACTTTCCAGCTCATCACATGGCTTTTAGCAGATGGCTTCAGTTCCTCACCATGTTGGTCTCTCCAAAGGGTTGTTCATGTTATCTCTTCCTCTAGAGCAGGAGATCTGAGAGAAAGAGAGCAGCCAAGGTAGAAGCAACAGTGTCTTTCTAACCTGATCTCAGAAGTGATATGCCATCACTGCTGCCATATTCTGTTGGTCACATAGAGCAACCCTAGTATGATGTGAGAAAGAGAGTGTGAGTATATGTATTCACAAAAGTATGAATACCAGGGAGGCAGGAATCACTGGGCACCAACTTGGAGCCTGCCTACCACAATTGGGATGGATTTTTAAACATTAACTTCGTAGGAATTGTGGAGGAGACAGAAAAGTCAACTTGTCTGACAGAAAGCGAACTTTTCTCATGATGCTAGCCTAGTGGGAGATACTTGAGTCCAATAAATCTGATAGTTGTGACATTGAGGATACAGAGTTGCCTTTTCCAGTTGGAAACTAATAAAAGAAGTAACAGGAACCATTTGAAGGGGACAATCATTTTATATGATGGTGTAATGTTAAAGTAATTATGAAGGAAGATTACTTTAACTGTGCGCACAACCTTACAGATTTTAAAAAAGAAAACATTTTTTAGGAATTATGAAGGAGGATGTGGAAGTATTTCCTCCAGTGCTGCTGTTGCTAAAAACACTCTTGAGGTTTCCTTATTTGGAAAAAAAAGTCTGATTTCTTAACATACCTGGTTTGGTTTCCATCATCCAAGCCATGCATGTCATTTGCTGCTTAAATCCAAAATAGTTCTTGTTTTAATTGGTAAGTTATATCTCTGAAGCTTCCAAGATAAAACTAAGTGTAACAACAAGAATCTTTTGAGATGGATAAATATAGTTCATCACTCTTGAGAAATTGCTTCAAGAAGAATTAAGGTTTATTTTGGATAGAGACTCGGGTCTTCATTACAGGTGTAAATTTAGGTTCCTTTAAGGTTTATGTTGTGGATACTTTAAGTAAAAGATAATTTAAATGTTAACTATATTAAAGTATGTGATTCTTTTAAAAACAAAAATATAAAAGTTGTAATGTTTTATAAGTTTTTTATAACATTTCTAGAAATCAAGGAGCTATCTTGGATTTTCTTTGTCTTAAATTACATGCAGGGTGTGAGGCTTCAGGACCGCAACTTCTGCCAGTGAGAGCACTAAATGAAGTCTTCATTGGGGAGAGTCTGTCATCCAGGTACTTTTAAACCAGTGATCTTGAGCATGGAATTTAATGTTTTAGTGCTTTTGGATATTTATTCAATTTCTACAACCTGGCTAAGATTTGTGAATAATCTTTTGTATGTAATGGCAGTTCATTATTTAATGAAATATTTCCAAAACCTTCATAGACGTTAATATGTATTAAGGGGAAAGAACATTGTATAGCAAAAAAGTTTGTAAAACCCTATATTAAATAAAGTTATTGTACTGCGTCCCAGAGCCTTTAATCTGTTTATATAGATTCTTTATTATTATTACTATTATTTTTTGAGACCGAGTCTCACTCTGTCGCCCAGGCTGAATTGCAGTGGCGTGATCTTGGCTTACTTCAACCTCTGCCTCCCGGGTTCAAGCAATTAGCCTGCCTCAGCCTCCCAAGTAGCTGGGACCACAGGCACGTGCCACCACACCTGGCTAATTTTTTATTTTTAGTAGAGGTGGGGTTTCACCATTGTTGCGAGAAGTCAGGGACCCCAAACGGAGAGACTGGCTGAAGCTGTGGCAGAAGAACATAAATTGTGAAAATTTAATGGACATTATCAGTTCCCAAAATTAATACTTTTATAATTTCTTATGTCTGTCTTTACTGCAGTCTCTGAACATAAATTGTGAAGATTTCATGGACATTTATCACTTCCCCAATCAATACTCTTATAATTTCTTAAATATTGGGGGCTGGTTCCCCCGATACACCATGTTGGCCAGGCTGGTTTCAAACTCCTGGCCTCAGGTGATCTGCCCACCTCAGCCTCCCAAAGTGCTGGGATTACAGGTGTGAGCCACTGCACTTGGCCAGATGCTTTATTAATGTTTTATTTTCATTTTTTAGAGATGGCGTCTTACCATGTCTGAATGTTGCCCAGGTTGGCCTTTAAATCTGTACTCAAGCTATGCTCCTGCCTCAGCTTCCTGAGTAGCAGGGACTAGTCGTGCATATCACTGTTCCCAGCTTATAAATATTTAAGAGAGTAATATACCAAGTATAAATTTGCAATTGATAGAAAACTTTTATAGGCAGTTCATATTAATATTTCCTATTAATTAGTGCTTCTTAAAGCTGATTTGTTTGCTTGCTTGTTTTTAGAATTTGTTCGCTTGTTTTTATCCAGGATCCAATACATTGCATTTGGCCATCATGGCCTTTTAAAATTAAGAACACTTCCATCCTGTTTTGTCATTCATGATATTAATATTTTTGAATGGTCTAAGCCAGTTGGATTGCAGAATATCCCTTATTTTAAATTTGTATGATTTTTTTTTCATGTTAGATTCGGACTAGGCATTTTTGACAGCAATGCTCCATAGTTGATGTTGTATCCTTTTTAGTGTAACACATCATAAGGCAAGTGCATCGACAGTTCAAGATTGTAACCATTATTGCAAAAATTAAGGTTAATGTAGTTCCTTATTAGGAGTGTAAAAATATATGTGTTTCATTACTGGCAGAATCTGTTTTGTGGGACTTGAATATAACTTAGGCTTACATTATCAACATAATTTTTTTTTGCAAAACATTTTTGTGGAACACAGTGACAAGCTATAAAATGACTACTGTGATGTAAAGTTAACTCTTGATAGTACTTTAGAACCTGGCTTCTCATCCTTGTAGATGTAAGTAAATTAAGGGTAGAAAATTAGAGATGAGTTTTATTTGCTACTTTCCTGCTACTAGAACAATGTGAGTGACCCTTTGAAGATTATGTTGTTGGATCCCTAGTTTACTAAGAGTTCCATAAATTCTGAAATTTTGTTTGCTGGAAGTCATATCCTTTCATAACAACTTTAATTATAGTGAGAAAAACTCGTCTTAACTAAAAAAGATATTCACATTGTAGCCAATGACTCAACTCGGGTTGTGTTGAAAAAGAATTGAAGTTTGATTCAGCAGAATGGTTTGAACAGTATTTTTGATTTGTAATTATTTTGTTTATGTAATATTTAACAAAAATACATTGTGCATGTGCTGTGTGTAATATGTGAGTCACTAGGGATGTAAAGATGAATAACAAAGGTAGTGGTATCTTAATTTTTTGGAGAGTAATACATAATTTTAAAAAGTTAAAAGTAAAATTTACTATTCAAAGATAAAATATTTAGGAAACAAAAATGTAGTAAAGTATAAAAATATACTTTAACACAGCAAGACTTATGCTATATATAAAGTTTTCTCTTTTGCTGCATATAAAGTTTGAAGCAATACGGACATGAATTATAGATAGTATGTGGTAGACGAGAGAAGAAATAATTTAACTCTAGTGATACAATCTTGTCATTATTCTAAAGACAAGATAGAGAAGAGAGGAAGAACTTTAAATGAGATTGGAGAAAGTCTACCTTAAATGCAATGATAAAAATGTTTTGTGAGTTTATGCTTCCTTCAGGAAAGCCATTTAATGGCTTATTTTATTCTGTTTGTGTATTTTAAAGGTAACTGCTGAGAGCTAGCTTTGCTTTATAATTTTATACTTACTAAAAAATTAAATAACATATATGGAGGAAAACTGGCATCAGTTGATAGATTTCGGGGGAGTCTGAAGTTTCTTGAGGGGATTTTCAATCAAATGCTTTTATTTTCTGTGGCAGTAGTGATCTGGTTGGTTTATCTCATAAATAACTGATGCTGCTGCTTTTTGTGTTCTTTGATGTCTCACCTTATGGTTTTACTAAGTAAGGACAGCAATGGATTGGCTTCTGATGCTATTGAAAACAGTTTAACTACTGCAGGTATTATAACTCACTTTTAAAGATTTTATGACATAGACCCTTAGGCAGAAAGGAAATGAACATTTATTGGATGCCTGCTATGTGCCAGGCACTGCTTATATTGTGTGTGCTATCTCATTTAATGCTCATAGCAACCCTGTGAGAAAGGTAGTTGTATTTATTAGTGACAAAATTGAGATTTGGAGAGTTCAAATAACTAGCCCAAGGTCATATAATTAGCTAGCATCAGAACTGTAACGTAAACCCAGTATTTCTGATTCTAGATTCTGTATTGAGGCTTCACTATGCTCTGAAAACTTAAGTGCCTTGCTTGGAAAATGTGAAGTGCAGCAATATTATTCCTGCCTCATTTATAATGTTCTTAGATTTAAGAACATTTTAAAGGCCCAATTTTGTTTTCTTTTCTCCTATTTGTTCTAACCTAGAATGTCTTATTCTTGGGCTGTAGCAGTGGACAATTTAAGAAGAAGTATACCCACTCTAAAGGGACTGTGAGTTTTATTGCTGCCTTAAAAACATAATTTCCCTGAAACAAAAATTCTATGAATTGACTAATCCTGATAAACTTGCATGTGAGAATGACACTAAATTTGCTCATTATTTTGGGCTCAGCATCTCTCACCTGACTGTACTTGTCTTTCTCTCTGCCTCTGCTTCTTTTCTACCCATGCGCCCTTACCTTTAATCTCTTTTGTTTCTACTTGATTCTGGCATAGTAGCAGCCACTTCTATGGATTTGGCTGGCTTGTCTGTACATAAAAGGCTCCTAATGTGTGTGTTTTCTAGGAAGATATAACAAAGCTATGAAATAGATTAAATGTGAATGTTAGGCCTGCTATGTTTTATTTTTAATAAGAAATTCTGACTATAGAGAAAAAAGTGAAAAGGAGTTGTATTAGGCAAAACCCTCACAAATTAAGAGCTTACAGGATAAACTGTAAAGGTAGAATAAGAAATAAATTATCCACAGTGGTAGTGTTTGTAAGCATGTCCAGTAATTGTTATTATTTTGAAAAGTTGTATTTTATTACGGTTTTATCTTAACTTTTTTATTTGCTGGAGAAAAAAATTCACTGTTGATCAGTGACACAATTATTTTAAGATAGAGTTTACAAAATAAGCTTTTAGACATTTCAAAAGTTCTTTGAATAGTTACAAATCATTTATGCATTATGGAGTTAAAGAATAGTGCCATTTTTGCTAGTGCCAGAAAACTCATTTGATTTCATATTAATGAAATATTTTAAGAAATGTAAATCTCAAAGAAATTTATAGTTCTGGTTTATCTCTAGTTTTGTCCACTAATCCAGTATTGGTTGAGAATTTTCTTTACAGCTTTATTATCTAATCTCTGTTAGCTTACTACTAATTCAAAAGGTACATTAGCATGTAGCTTAAGAAACAAGAGTTTAGTAGAAACTATTAATAACTTTAAGAATTAGAATCAGCTTTAAAATATATCAAGGACTAGCTACCAAGAATGAAACTCACTTAAGAATAGTATTTTCTTTTTTGAATTCTGAAATGAGGCTCTGTGTATGTTAGATTCCATAAGAGCAATAGCACAATGCTAGCCAAAAATTTGCAAGAAGCCCCTATTTGAAATATTAAAGTATTGTCAGAAAGGAATATATAAATCAGACAGGCATGCAGACATGTAGGGTTTTTTTTTGTTTTTTGTTTTTCTTCTAACTTTTTCACTTAATTAGTATTGGAATTAGCATCATGATGTGTGTGCCTACTAAGTCCAGTATTTCTTGGGTAAGCTGACTTAATTAAGATTTCCTTAGTTCTGAAGAAGACTATCTTATTTACTGTGAACCATAAGCTCAGCAAACAGTTTTATATTCTCAATTCACAGGGCTTCCTACTATGAGATTTCAGTTGATGATGGTCCATGGGAAAAACAGAAGAGTTCAGGGCTCAATTTGTGTACTGGAACAGGATCAAAAGCCTGGTAAGTAACTTGGGATGTTGCTTATCAAGTTTTGTGAAATATTTTTAGTAATGTAATATATTGGCACATCTAAGGCGTGTAATACGCAAGAGGTGTCCTGGTGGTGTTATGTAGGTAGGCCAAGTTTCTGTTTCATTCATCACTGGGGTCTAGTAGTCCTGCCTTGACTTCTTGGATTACAGTTACAGCCTGGATTTGGTCATTATTGAGCACTAGGTTTGTAAAGGAAAGGAAATGAGAAGTGGTTTTGGGACTATCTTTTCTTAAAAATGAAAAATATTTTAAATAATAGTAAGAAAATGAATACAAAGTACAATAAACAAAAATGGACTGGAGGTTTGTATATTAGAAGCCTAACTGGAGATAACCTGGTGCATCCTATGTCCTGTTTACTCTATAACCTCCCTCTGGGTAGTCTCGTCGTCTTAGTACATTCCTCACAGATGTCTCCCAAACATACCTTCTCTCCTGAGTACAAACTCATATTCTAAAATTACATGCCAGATAGGATATTAGTAACACTTCAGATTCAACACATTCAGAACTGAATTTATTGTCTTCAGTTTTTCTTTTTGTGTTCTTTATATTGCTGAATACCATCAGCATTTACCCGACTCCATGTCTAGAGAAAAAAAGCAAAACATGATTTCTCAAAACCTTGTTCTTACCTTTGGAGTCCTCCATTCTTCATTCTCCTCTCTATATATCCCAGTCTCAAAATCCTGTTCATTGTACTTCTGAAATCTTAGTCCACTTTTTGGGTTTCTACTGCTGCTACTTTGGTCCAAGCCTGCACCTTTTTAGTGAATATTCTTTGTGCCTTTCCTTTTATTCTTGAGGCTATCATCTGCACTGCACAGAGTAATAGTTCCTTTTTTTTTTTTTTTTTTTTTTTTACTTTAAAAAAAAAAAATATTATTATACTTTAAGTTCTGGGGTACATGTGCACAACGTGCAGGTTTGTTACATGGGTACACACCGTGCCATGTTGGTTTGCTGCACCCATCACCTCCTCATTTACGTTAGGTCTTTCTCCTAATGCTATCCCTCCCTCAGTCCCCCACCCCACAAAAGGCCCCGGTGTGTGACCCTCCCTGTGTCCATGTGTTCTGATGTTTTATGAGTGAGAACGTACGGTGTTTGGTTTTCTGTCCTTGAGATATTTTGCTGAGAATGATAGTTTCCAGCTTCATCCATGTCCCTACAAAGGACATGAACTCATTCTTTTTCATGGCTGCATAGTATTCCATGGTGTATATGTGCCACATTTTCTTTATCCAGTCTATTATTGATGGATATTTGGGTTGGTTCCAAGTCTTTGCTATTGTGAATAGTGCCACAATAAACATACGTGTGTATGTGTCTTTATAGTAGCATGACTTATAATCCTTTGGGTATATCCCCAGTAATGGGATGGCTGGGTCATATGGTATTTCTAATTCTAGATCCTTGAGGAATCGCCACACTGCCTTCCACAATGGTTGAACTAATTTACGCTCCCACCAACAGTGTAAAAGTGTTCCTATTTCTCCACATCCTTTCCAGTGTCTACAACAGAGTAATATTTCTAAAATGTAGATAAATCTATCTCTGTTCTCTGCTTTACAAGTTTCATTGACCTCTGTTCAGATTGCTTAATCTGTCATTTGAGGCCCTTTATCATACGACCTTAGTGATCTTATTGGCCTTATTCCTGCCCTACCCTTACTCCTGCCTATGGCACACTAGAATTGGCACAGCTCCTTGCAATTCTCAGCACGCTTCTTGTTCTCGCTTGGCTTTTTATTTTTGCTTAATGCAACTTCTTCCTGCCTTGAATGCCTGAACTATCCACTGGCTGAAAATTCAGTCTTGAAATGTCATTCTCTTTAGCAAATCTTTAACACTCACCTCTTTCATAAAGACAGTGAATTAATCATTTTTATCCTTCCCTAACACTTTTTCTCATAGCACTGTTATAGCCGTTATTACATTATTAGTTATCTAATATGCTAGTACCCAGCTAGTTAAAGTAACTTTATGGATTTGGGATGGTGACTAGGGTTTTTTTTTTTTTTTTTTTCCTGCTTAATCTTTTGTGTGCACAGTACCTTATATGTATTCACTCAAAAAGTATTTTTTGAGTAAATGACTATACGCTCACAATTGTATATAGCTAAAACAATGCTTATCAAACTTTTAAATTTGGATAGTTTGATTTAGAGTTTTATTTCCTACTTGTTTAGCATGACTTCTTAAACTATTTTATTATGAAAAATTTTTAATAAGAGTGACAAAATAGTGTAATGAATCACCACATACCATTAGCTAGTAGTAATTATCAACACATGCCCAATCTTGTTGCCTCTGTTCCCCTATCTACTTTTGTTCTATTTATTTTGAAGTTATTTTTCAGATGTCATGTCATTTAATTCATAAGTATTCAATAAAAAAATTAGCCAAATAGTCTTTTGGAAAAAATAAGAAGTATCATTTTAAAAGATAGGTTAATAATTTATTTTCCTGAAGGCCAGTGAAAGGAACATTTCTAAAATGAATTTTCCAATAATTTTGTGAAAAAATTAATCCTTTAATATGTTATAAAATTATTTTGTAACCATCTCATAGATTAAATTGAAAACATTACAGCTAACAGCTTTCATTTATGATGATAGCATCTTTCCTGTTGAACATGCTATGCTACTTTTTGAAAACTAGAGTGAAATTAGAAATAGAAATGGAAATTTCTGTTAGAAATAGAGATTGTCTTTACCCAGTATTCTTATCATAAAAAATGGGCAAAGTGGTATAATTGAAAAGAGTACTGGCCTGGAAGTTAAGAGACCTGATTAAACCACAGACTAGCTTTACAAATCTGTGTACAAATTTCCTTGTCTGCAAAATGCAGAAATTGGAACTGATAAAATAGTAAGTTTACTTTGCCTTCTGAACTTCCGTGATTCTGTGTGTTTATTTTTTATGCATTGTAATACAAGCTATCAGTTATATAGCCCCTGCTACTTTGTACTGTGCTAGGTACTTTTATATATTAATTAATCCTTTTAGAAATCCTGGAAGAAAGTAGTAGCATTCCCATTTTATAAATGAGTAAATTAAAGGTTAGCAAGGATAATTTAGGCCAATGTTATACAAGAAGTAAGAGTCAGAACCTGGATATAAGTACAGGTGTGCTGGACTGCAAAATCAGTGCCCTTTTCACTGTCATTACTACTTGTGCTGCTTCACAAGGGAAGGTCAGTTTTTAAATGGAAAGGGGGAGGGGTTCTGAGCTGTCTATAGAGGTCACATAGCTGAAAGAAAAGTCACTAGGTTGTATTGAAGAATTATCAAGATAAATTTGTAATTAATCTCAGTGAAGTAGTGCTTCTGCTAGAGGCAATGGGGCTTCTGTCTGGGGAGGGGTGTAATTTTGATAGATTTTGATAGTTCAAGTTTTCAACCTTTCGGGGCATAAGGAATGACAGCCACTACAATGCTTTTAAAGCATTCCTCGCCTCCCACATGCACCCAGTAGTTGAGTCCTGTGTTGATGTTGCATTTCGATAAGTATGGGTTAGATTAAAATCTCAGCCTTCTCTATGTTGCTTGTTAAAGTTTTCTATTATTTCCTGTGCTCTAGTATAAAAGTCTTTCTCACAAGCTATATCCTATCCCTGCTACCTTGGTTACTCAGTCTCTTCTCTACCAAGCCCCATGCAGCTTGCTTGCATCTAACATGTTCTCTACTGCAATTCCCATTCATCTTTTGTCCTTTTCTCTTCAAGAAATGTAGGAAGAGAAGGGAAGCCTAGGAGCCAGAGGGGCTGGGGAAAAGCTGTATATTTCTATACATTAATAATTTTTGTTTTTATCATACTACCATCTCTGAGCACATATTTTGTTCCAAGCTAATTAGATGATCTTGTTTAAATTCTCACAAATACTCTGGAAGTAGGTGATTTTATTTTCATAAGTAGAATCCAAAGTTTCATAAGTTAACTGACTTTCCCAAAGCCATGTGGCTAATAAATGGTGAAGTCATGATTTAAATTTTAAACCTATCTATAAACCATAGACCTCTGAAGAATCACTGGAAAGAAAAGATTAGAATAGTCTATTTTTCTCTCGTTTAATTCTTGATAGAGAGGGGCTTGTTTTCTTGTATGAAATTCTTTAATTAGTCGTTACTTTTAATATGATGTGGAAATGTATGACTCACGGTAAGCTATTTGTTATAAAAGATAAACCACCAATCTCGGTGGCTTAACACAGTATAAGTCTATTTCTTGTTCTTGTAAAGTCTGCAGTGAGTATTCCTGATTGGCAAGCAGCTCCCTGTAAGTGGTTATTCAAGGAGCCAGAGTTCTTCCATCACGTGGCTCTACCACCTTCTAAACATAGCTCCTCCGGTTGCTCTGCTACAGAAGGTAGAAGAGCATGGGGACTCCCCATGGGAGGCTGTGAGCCAGGCTTTGAAGTTTTATTCATCATGTCCACTCTGATTTCATTAGCTACAACTCAGTCACATGACTATATGGCATGAAGGGCTAGAAAATATGCGTTCAGGAAGAAAAACAGGTTTGGGGAAGAGTTATTCTGTGTCTGCATCTCCAAAAATTCTTCCACAGGAGACAGGATATAGGGGTGGTATTACACAGCAAATGTCTCTGAATTGTCCCATTATCATGTCAGTTCTCTGGTCAGTGGGGAATCAGGTTTACTCCGTACATTGGGAGAAGTACTACAGAGCCAGATCACCATATATTTCAATTAGTTTCTTTTTAAAATTGTTCTCAGTCCTTTTTCTCCATACATGCTGCCCTACCAGACTTTAAAGTAAGGATGAAGATGTTTTTAGGAAATGGAGCTTTAGTAGTTGATGAAGATGTGATACTCAGTTTGTCTTCCAGTTTGGTAGTAGAAGTTGTGTCTGATTTTAAATGGGAACTCTTAGAGTGGTGAAGGTTGTAGATCTAAGAAAAAGGTTCCCATGTTTTTGCATTTCTCCAAACATGAAGGGTACAGGGTTAGCAGGTATAAGAGTATCTCTTATTCTCCCTCCCTCAAAAAGTTGAGAGAGAGTGATTTAGGTTTAGAGTTGTGTTGACTCATGTTATTCCTGTTCCTTGGGATTATCTGTTGAGATCATGTATGAAGAGTTATGAGGCAGCAGAAGAATTCAAAATTACTGGGAATTTTTTTTTAAAAAAACAACCTTTTCTTAGTGATCTTTATAGACCCCCAGGACAGAACTGTTTTGAAAAGTTATTCATGTTTGTATTAATGCTTGGTTTTTAGTGGTTAAGCAAGGCATTGCACATGTAGAATATTTCTTCCCTTTAAGGAAACTATTTTATAACTTAAAGTATAATTTAATACTTAAAGAATATGTTAAAAGGTACAAAAGGGTATACAGCAAAAAGCTAGTCTCCTTTTTATTTCGTATCTGTAGTACTTATCTCTAGATTCATACTATATATGTATTTTTTTTCTTAAAATGAAACAATATATACACTATATGATGCCTTTTGTTTTTTAACTTAGTATTTTGGTTATCCTTACACATCAGCACATATATTTGTATTATTTTTAATATCAATGAGTAGCTATAATTTATTTAATTAGCTTTCTGTGGGTTTCTATATTTGAGTTGTTTTGCTGTTATAAAGAGCGTTTCAGCTAATAATTTTTGTACCTATCTTTGTGTATTATAGATGGAGGTATATTTTAGGTTAAGTTACTAGATTGAAGAATATGTTCATTTTAATTTTGATAGTGCATAATTGCTCTCCAACTGCAGTATCTCTGTTCCCATAAATGTACGAAAATACTTGTCTCATCATACCCATACTAGTACATTATTTACCAGTTTTTAACTTTGTTCATTTAGAACTTTCTCCAATTTCTAAGAATTTTCTATATTTTAAGTAGGTTATTCATTTGAGATTTTTAGCATGTTTTTAGAATTAAAACTAAAAATTTTGTGATTTTTGTTTCTAGGTCATTCAATATTAACAGAGTTGCAACTCAGGCAGTAGAAGATGTTTTAAATATTGGTGAGTACCAAAACAGCTATTACAGTAGTCCCCTCTTATCCGCAGGGCACATGTTCCAGGACCCCCAGTGAATGCCGAAACCTTGGATACTACCAAACCCTTATACTATGCATTAATTTCTTTTTCCTTCTTTACAATATCATGGATAGAAGATTCATATATCTGATTGTAAATCTTAGCAACCTCAGCATATGACCTTTTTCTTTGAGAACATTCACCTGTTCATGCAAAGAAAGCATTTTATGGCTTCTCTTTGGCATATCTGATTTGCCGACATCACTACTTGTGCCTTGGGGCCATTATTAAGTTAAATAAGGGTGACGTGAACACAAGCACTATGATACCATGACAGTCGATCTAATAACCAAGTCAGCTACTAAGTGACTAATGGGCTAGTAGCATGCACAGCATGGATAAGCTGGACAAAAGCTCACATCCCAGGTGGGTTAGAGCAGGACTGCGTGAGATTTCACCATGCTACTTAGAATGATGTGCGATTTGAAACATGAATTGTTGATTTCTATAATTTTCCATGTAATATTTTTGTATCATGGTTGTCTGCCGGTACCTGAAACTAGAAGAAAGCAAAATCATGGAAAGCAAAAGTGCTAATAAGGACAAGGGGGGACTACTGTTTATTTATGATAATATGCTATATAATGTATACATGCTATTTTATATTAGCTATTATGTTATATAATAACATATATGTATTTATAACACACATACATTTTAATCATACTTTCCCCCTTTCCTTTTTCAATAGCAAAACGACAAGGAAATTTGTGTCTTCCATTGAACAGAGAATTGGTAGAGAAAGGTCAGTGACAATTGGTAATAATCACTAACAGTTTAGTTCTATTTCAGTTTTAAGAATGATAGTGTGAAGTGTTATTTAATTAGCAAAGTACTTTCTTTTTTACTCAAACATGCTTTTAATATGATATCCCCTTAAATGTCTTTAAGCAACATAAAGAATAAAGTTGGACTTGGTTGTTGTGATTTTTAGTCAACCCTGAAATACAACTCTTAAGTCAAAGCAGTATAACTGCAAACATGTCCTGGGGGATAGGGAATTACAGAAAAATCTTTATCTCACAAATAGTAAGTGCATAGCTAAATTCACTATGCCATTAATATCCTCTCAATGAGATAGAATTCACTGAGCTATGAGTGCTTATTTTCTTATTCACTCGAATATTCTTTTTAATATTCTTCTCCATAGTTTTGCCTGATTACCTCAAGATTCCTTTAAGAGAATTAGCGCTGTTAGAGAAAGAATACTTATCAAGAAATCTGAAATCGTAGGTTCCAGTTCCAGATCTACTACATCAGCTGTGAAACTTGGGCAAGGCTGTAATCCTCCACAGTTGTAAAAAGAGGGGGTTAAAGTAGATCATCTAGCTGGTGTTTCTAGGAGTTCTTCAAATGTATTCTTTACATTCTGTTTAAAACAATTTAAATTTTTAAACTGAAAAACACATTCATTTGATTTGCATATCAGATTGTAACACACTGAAGTCTACTTATCTACCAGGATCATTCTTGTATGCACCTCAAATTAAAGCTATTTTTTGCTATCTCCATTGAAGGATATCCTAAAATTTCAAGGTAGATTGTTTTTTATAAAACCACAAACCAAAATGTGTTTAAAGTTACATCTACATACCTATGTAAGGATCTTCTCAACATATATGACAAAAAATATATAGACATAAAGTGAATATTGATACCTGTAAGACTGCAACTGTCATCCATAAACATAAATGCTTGGATTTGAGTTATCTTAATGCCTCATTCTCATTGGTTACCTTAAAATGAGTTAGCAATACCTTTTAACCTGATACAGTATTTTAAGTGTCAGTTTATTTTTATTGTTAGGTTTCCACATAAGACTTCCTTTTTTGAGGGGACAGTTTGCCTCTAAAATAGTTGGAAAAAAGAAGCAAATCTCTCAAGCCCCATTCAGCCTTCTAAAATGGATTCTGGTCTCCTTCACTCAATTTGAGACCTACAAGATTATTTTAATCATGGTTCATGAATTAGCACCAGCAGTAAATCTGTATGAAAGGAAAGTTAGGCACATATAGTAATTGCTTCTTAATTATATAATTCAACTTAAAAAATATATATATAAAATAACTGAAATTTATGTCAGGTATATATATAAATTAAGGGTATATATACACACACACAGACACATATATACACATACATATACACACATATATATGTGTATATATATATCATCTGTGATTTTCTTCTTTTAATAAACATACCAAAGCTTTACTTTGATGAATGGCATTCCTTTCAAGATTTGACTATCTTTAGAAGCAACAGTGAATGCCAGTGATGCAATCACTGTTACAGACATTTGTGAAATTACTCCTTTGAAATTTCTTTCAGAGCTAGCATGCTTTTTTGTGGTGTGTTCTCACGGAGCCAAAGTTTTATTTTTGTGAGTGAATTAGATTTTTTTTAAAGCCAGTAATTCAAATGAAACTTTCGTAAATAAGGTAGATTATCTGACAGTCTTTTAATTTTTTTAATGTAGTACTCAACTAAACTTTCTTTCAGGCCTGATATCTTTGTAATTTTCTCAACCAATTTGTGCTTTGTATTCCAGCCTTCATGTGCCTCTTGATTAGAGAGAAAGGTCCCAAAGATTTCTAAAAAATATGTTGATGTATTGGAGAAAGGATATTGCCTGTCGTTGTTTGAGACTGCATTTTATATCGACGCTGTTTGCTTATTATCATAGTTATGAGCTCTTTGATGTGGTATTTTGGAAAGAACTTGGCAGGGCAATATGGCAACTCAAGTTCCTTTTTTGAATGCATCTATCTAGTTCCTCTATTGTTTAATTACAAGCTTTGAAGCTAGTGGTGTTTTTTTTTTTTTCTTTTTCCCCAATTGTACCTATTTCTACTGTATTGTGGGTGATGTGTGTTTCTGTGGGCAAATCATGGTACCTCATTCTTATTTATAAGGTTTTTTGTTACTGTTTTTAATGGAATATGTGTTACGAGTTTCAAGAACCTTGTTCCCAAATAGACTTTTGGAACTGAATTAATTTTAAATGGGGGATGGCATCTATTTTTTGTTTTGCCATTCTCAGAAGTGACCATCTTTTATTAGTGTGGTAATATTTTTTTTTCTTTGTAGTAACAAATGAATATAATGAATCACTGCTCTACAGTCCAGAAGAACCAAAAATACTTTTCAGTATTCGAGAACCAATAGCAAATAGAGTTTTCTCAAGCAGTCGTCAGCGTTGTTTCTCCTCAAAGTAAGCATCCTCGGTCTGACTTCTGACTATTTTCATCCCTTTCATTGTTACAAAGCACACTTGGTTTGAAAACAATTTAATTTCATTAAATTTGCTCATTCAAACTTAATCTAGCAGGAAAAGTCGAACCTGTGAAAGTAATAAGGTATCATGCTAACCCGGCTAAAATCCTATTTTCTTGTACACTTACTGTGCCATTTTAGAGAAGCTAAAACTTAAGTGACTAGAAAGGGTACAGTTATTTATTTCAGTGATTTGTTGGTTTTTAAAAAATGAACCAAGACACAATAATTGTAAAAGAAGCTGAATAGAAAGCCCCTTCTTTTTCATAAGCTGTAGAATAAAAACACGATAAACACTGATAGAAAACTTAGATTGCATAGCAGTAAACCTTTAGAATAGTTTTCATTTCTTTTAGGTTTTCCCTAAAAGTGACCTCCCACCTATTGAATTTGCTTCATTTTATTTTTGGGGAGAGAGGATATAAAAAAGTGGATATAATTTCTTATTTTGTAAAGGTTCCCCAATTTTCCAAATTAACAAGAAAATCTAAACTTCTGAGAAAATGTCATCTATCTCATGGCAAGCAGAAAACAGCTTAAGTAATTACAAATTGCTGACCTCAGTGTACATATTTTCTCTTTATAGACATACAATTAATTTTTTCCCCAGGTTAGACACAAATAAGGAAATTTATCTTAAAATTCACGTTGTCATTTGACAGTTAATTTGATTAATCCACAGATCTCTACTCAGTTTGAGTGAGACGACAAAGACTCCTTCAAAGATATATACTACTTATATTTAAGTTTTTGCTAATAGGAGAATAGCTTTGTGATTTTGACAGTTGGAAAAGATTTCTTAAACATGTCATAAAAAGCACTGTAACAACAAAAGATTGATAAATTGAACTACACTGGAAGTAAGAACTGCCAGTAATCAAAAGATACAATTAGGAAAACAAAAAGGCAGAGCGAGAAAGATATTTTCAGGACCTATATCCAGCAATGGGCTCATAGCCAGAATATTTAGTATATAAAAATTCCTACTGACAATAAGAAAAAGGCAGGCAACGTGATAGAAAAATGGCCAAAGTCAGGCATTTCACAAAAGGTGATATTCATATGGCTAATAAACATATGAAAAACATGATCTTATTATTCATCTGGGAAATGTGAATTAAAACTACATAATACACTACCATATACACCCACCAGAATGGCTAAGGTACCAGTTGTTGGCAAGGAGGAGTAACTACAACTTTCTGTGTATTCCTAAATTTCTGTTAGGAATATATAGCTTGGAAAATTGTTTGGCAGTTACCTAGCAAACCTGCACATAGCATACACAGTGATCCAATAATTCCCCTTTGAGGTATATATCCAACAGAAATGTATGCACCAACAGAAATATGTGCACAAAGACATTCAAGAATATTCATAACCGCTCTACTCCCAATAGCCAAAAACCCAAATGTCCATGAATAGTAGAAGAGAGATGAATTTTGGTGTTTTCATACAATAGAAGTGATTTCATACAGCATTAAAAATGAACACACTACTATTAATATTACACATAATAACATGGATGAATTTCACAAACATACTATTCAAAAGAAGACAGACACCACTGTGCATATTATATTCTTCCATTTATATAAAGCTCAAGAACAGACAAAGCTATTACTACTACAGTGATAGAAATTAGGAAAGTAGGTATGCTTGAGGAGGGAGCAGGGATAGTGACTGGGAGAAGGCAGTGAGGGAGCTTCTGGCAAGCTGGGTAACAGTTGATTCCTGAGTTGGGTGATCATAAGTGTGTTCACTGAACTGTACATTAATAATTATGTATACCTGTATACATATACACATACCCAACTGTTCTGTATATGTGTTATACTTAAGTAAAAATGTTACATGAAAATAGTTAACACTCTTGTTCAATACTTAGTATTTGTGATGTTAGTAATTCAACATTCAATTGTATGAAAACAGCCTGTGAGTTCAGTCAGGTCTGCACTTCTTTACTGCTGAATGCTTGTGTGAATGGTGCTATCCTGAACATTTGCATTTGGAGACCTTCATAATATACCCATATATTTACATAGTCACTAATTTTCTCATACCAGAGAACAACTTGATTTTTAAAATGGAGGCCCAAGTGATGTGTGAGGTTAAAATTCAGGATTAAAATAACCTATTAGTTAAGATTAAGAAAACTATTACTATTTAATGAGATATTTCCTTCTGCCTAGGGTTTGTGTTCGTTCTCGTTGTTGGGATGCCTGTATGGTTGTGGATGGAGGAACTTCTTTTGAATTTAATGATGGTGCAATTGCTTCGATGATGATCAATAAAGAAGATGAGCTTCGAACTGTGCTTCTAGAACAGTGAAGGATTTCCTCATGACAAATTTTGATTACTGGAGAAAATACTTTTACTTCAGAAACGGACTACCAGTCGTAAAGTGACATTTTTTTGGTTATTGTTGAGACTACTTGCCTGTGGGCTCAGAAGTGAGATTTGCATTATTCTTCTGTTGGATTCTGATAGAAAAAAAGACATTCACTGTATAAGAAAATGGATGGACGGAACTAATTAGAATTGATAGCAGTGAAATTTTTATATTGCTTACAATTGGTAACCAAGAGTGCTGATATCTTTTTAAATTTATAGGGGCAGGCTTAAATAAAGGACTAAATATTTAGGATTTGAAACTTAACTGTATAAGTGTTTTTTCCTTCCCTTTCCTCCTAATTGTGGGATTGTCAGAACTGAACACATATCATTTGATTAGTGCATATTTTTTATAGTACCCGAAAATCAAGATTTTGAAAAAATTTTCATGACAGAGAATTTTGATAAATCCTGACATTGACCTAATTGACATAGGTAAATATGTTTGTATATGTGCTAAGAATTTTCTAATTTCAGAACACAAGGATGATGTTATGACTATTGATTTAAAAATTTCAAATAATCATTTTTGAAATTATAGATGAATGCTTTCATTTGAGTTTTATTCCGTGTAATTTCAGCAGTGCTGGGTGAAATACAGATATCAGAACAAATCATGATGCTGTTACAAATGTATTAGTTATCCAATAAGTGTTTTAAGTCAATTTTTTAAAAATGACGTGAGTCCTACAGGTTTCTTCCGTCTTTAAAATGCTCAAATTTTAAAGATGGAAGAAAGATTCAGGGACTAAAAGGATGAACTGATTAGACATTTTCTATTAGGAGTTTGGTAAAATATTGTAAACATATTTTTGCCTGTGTTAGGAGTATTATCACAAATAATGGATTCTTTAATAAATATGTAAAACACAGTAGTTTTAGAATTGCCTTCCTTAGTATTGTGGTTTTCACCTAGCTTATACTCCAAGTTTTACAGAATTGCTTTTAGGATAAAATTTTAGGACTTTTTCCCCACCCCCCACCCCATTATGAGAATTCCTTTATTTTTAGAGGAAATTATCTAATTCTTGATCTACTTATAAGTAATCCTAGAATTTTTGCCAAAAGATCCTGTCATTGCATAATGAAACAGTTGGTATTCTCATGCCATTGTTCAAAGTCATGTGTTTCTTTCACTTGCTGCTGAAAATTTCTGTTCAGTCATTAACAGATATTTATTGAACACCCACTCTGTTCCATGTACTACTATGTCAGGTGCTAGATATGTTGATGAACGAAACAGACTCTATCCTTATACAATTTTGAGTCTTGTGGGCTCAGAAGTAAATTCTGTGAAAGCTGGATGGATAATCAAATTGAGTGCTCTTAGTTTTGCCAATATTTAACATGTTGTTCTTATCAATTTTTTAAAATAAATGTTAATGTACAAAGTTAATCTAGGTTTTGATATATATCCAGAGAATCAATTTTTCTTAAAGTATCTGCATAGACATTCATAGCAAAGAATTTATGACATACCAGATAGAAATACATTAAAATGTAGTGTTTTCCCAGAGCTGGATCTAGTTTCTGGCTTTTTTTTTTTTTTTTTTTTTTGATATACATAAGACCACTTTATAAAGAAGCTCCACACTATAGAACCTCCCCTAACAGGCTCAAAATACCTTCTTTTTTTTTTTTTTTTTTTTTTTAGAGACAGAGTCTTGCTTTGTTGCCCAGGCTGGAGTGCAGTGGCACAATCTCGGCTCTGCAACCTCCATCTCCTGGGTTCAAACGATTCTCCTGCCTCAGCCTCCCAAGTAGCTGGGATTACAGGCATGCAACACCACGCCTGGCTGATTTTTTGTATTTTTAGTAGAGATGGGGTTTCACCATGTTGGTCAGGCTGGTCTCAAACTCCTGACCTTGTGATCTGCCCACCTCAGCCTCCCAAAGTGCTGGGATTACAGGCATGAGCCACCATGCCCGGCCTTAAAATGCCTTCTTGAAGAAAAAATGCCAGCTCCATCTTTAATCTCAAGGAAATCTGATTGTCCAAATATATCTGTTAATATGTAACATATTAATAGGTAACTTGCTGTGTAAAATTTTAAGCCATATTCTAAAAGGTTTTAAAAATAATGTGCTCCATTTGTGATAAAATTTCTAACATTTCTGCTCTGTGGTGGGAATTTATTTGTAAAAATGAGAAGCAAAGGAATGTTAGCATAGCAAAAATGTGTTTGAGTGAGTTAACCTTTTAATGGCAACCCTATGTGAATAAAATTATACCACTGTTACCTCTTCTTTTTAACATTTCTTATTTCCCTAACTCTCCAGGGTCACTATTTGAAAACTAGTTTTCACAAAATGTTATGTTTCAGAAGTGTTTCCCCACCGCTGTGTACTATTATTCTGTGCCCTGTTTACTTCATTGACTGTTAACATTTGACATAGAATGATTAGTTATTAAATCAGAGGGTGAAGTGCTTACCTGGTCAATGTAGACTCTTCAGATAATTTTGACTTAATATTTTTGATACTCCTTGTGTATTTACATTCATGGCCCCTGTACATTAAATCATATTACATGTTTTACTGCACTGATTTCACTTTTTAATAAGCAGAAAGAGCCTGTGAACACATTTTTATTGTAAAATATCCACTTGAGTTGAAAAAGTTGTCAAATACAAGTTTAAGGATCCGCTATATATTTTGCTCAGTTGTGAAAATAATGTACATTTAGAAATTAAATCACTTAAATTCATTTAATTGTACCAATATTTATGCATCCTTATACTTAAGAATAGCATCTACCAAGACAATTTTACAAAAAAGATCTCAGGGATAATGCAACACCTAAATATAATGGTTGGGGAGGTAAGAGTAAATGTACTGATGAATTGCCGAACTAAAGAATAATTCAATTTTATTTTTTCAAAGGCTGTTTATTCTTGACTTTAACAGTAAAAATACTCAAGGAATTAGGGCATAAGTCAGTGAGAGGGCTTTTTAAGTTTTCTACATTAAGGTGTGAAGAGTTTTTAAGTCTTACGGGCTTTAAGACCTTTTTTTAAAGAAAATCACTGACTAAACAAGCTAAAGTAGAAGAGCATATTGTAAGTGTTAATATGAATACCTTAAATATAGTGATTTTAATGCTCAAAATTATAATTTAGATATCTGGTATTTAGAGAAATGTAAAAATATCAGCATTTTAGTATTTAGATTTGCTAAAACAGTAATTCAAAGCAGTTATGTTTTGAGTTATCATTAGTACAGGCTTTTAGGTCTTTGACTTGTATCTTGAAGGGTTAGTCTCTTGGTGAAGAAAACTTTGACTTTCTGGGATGTTTGGATAGGTGGGGATTGGAATAGTAAAGAAAGAGGAGGTTGTCATTTTGCTTGTTCCATGGTTAGGGTAAGCAGTGACAAGAGGTTTCTTTCTAGTTTGCCCAGTCTCTAGACTACTTGCCTTTCTTTCCTCATAGGCTCTGCATCTTCTCCTGGGCTGTTGTATCCTGCACATTGTAGGTGGTCACTAAGTGTTGAAGTGTAATTGGGTTCACCAGGATAGGACACAAGTGCTTTATCCAGAAATAAAGTTTTGCACTTGGCCAGTGTCTCTCATGTCTCTGGAGCTTGTGGATAGGATCTATTAGGAATCAAGAGCACAAGAGCAGGTAAAGTGACAGCAGTAAAAATGAAACAGGTGTGTCTCAGAATAGAACAGAATATTACTTATCAAGTGTCTCCTTGATTAAAAAAAAAAAGAAAAACTTGATGATACAAGCCTCTAGAGCACTGACACTATTGACATTTTGTCAAGACAATTCTTTGTTGTGGGGGGCTGTCCTGTAGTCAGCAGCATCCTTAACCTCTGTTGCCTATATGCCAGTAGCACTTCTCATGACCACCAAAAATGCCTTCACATGTTACCAAGTATCTCCTGGGTGGGAGAAAATCACCCCTGGTCTAGAGCTTTTTGTTGCTAGATCTAACTACTGTTTTATGGGAATAGGGGACAGATTAACCTATCATTCCAGGGATAGATGCAAAATCCAGAATGTAGAACACAGGACAAATAACATAGTTTCTTCAATAAATAAGTTATAAGGAAAGAAAGGAAGAAACTCTTAAGATTAAGATTTAGAGAATTTAAATGCAGTAGGTATACCATGTTTGGATCCTGAGCAAAATAAACCCACTGAAGAAAACACGAGATAACTGAGGAGTTTTCAACACCATCTTGATATACCATGCTTCAGGATTCATGCAGGAGAATCCCTATCTTTTAGAGGTTTATACTGAAATAGTTATGATATTATGGTCTGGGTTTTGCTTCAAAATTATCTGTATTGGAGGGGAATGGTTGAGACCATGGATTAAGTGAGATTGGCTAGGAGTTGACTGTTGAAACTGGATGATGGGGTCCATCATATTCTCTTTTTTTTTTTGGCATGTTTGACGTTTTTCATCATTAAAAAAGGGCATAGTGGTGATAGGACCAAGACAATTGGGTGATATTCAAGAATCACCATTCTACCATTTGAATGGAAAGGTTCAAAAGGAACAGAATTCCTGGAAGACCTCTGGGCATACAGTGAACATTCAAATAGTTTCTGAATGACAATAAAATACATAGTATAACCTAATCAAATATATTTTTAAAATGCTACCAGCTGACTTTTATTGATAGTACTCCTTTGTCACTTGAATTCAAAGGTTTTGTAAGTATATTACTACTGGAAGCACTTTAAAGATAAGCCTGTATTAGCCCCTTTTAAAAAGGCATTATTTTTTTTTTTCAATGTGATAAGCATATGAAGTAGAAGGGTCAAAACAGGGCTCTGTTTTGAAGAGTCTTATTTAGAGGTATCTAAGCCAAATGGCACACCACACTAAATGCTTTCAAATTTTAACCACAACACTTAAAGAGAAAGAGAAAAGGAATACAACCTAGCTTAAGTACTCATTTTTATAAAAATGTGTTTATTTTAAAACAAGTCTATAAAAGTAGAAATCACATACAAAAATACAGATTGCTCTGACATGTTGGCAAAATAGCTTATGGCTGGACTTGAGTTTGGAAGTTCTGCATGTTTGAGGGCATCTGGATGTTAGAGTCCAACTGGATCCTAACCCCAGCTCTTGTCACTAACCTGTAAACAATAATTTCAAGTAGTATTTAGCACTTTTTAACTACTAAGAAATTGAAGCATAATCATTTTCTGTGTAACCCAACTTTAAAATCTTCGTTAGGTCTAAGCAGATAAAGGCACTTCATACTATGTTTCTAACATTACAATTTTTGATTAAAAAAAAAAACAGTTAATACAAATGACAGGTTTTGGCTTTTTTGTCGTTACATTTTGAACATATGAAGTCATCAATTTAAACTAGTTTTTGTGATTTTTAAGAAGTAGAATTTGATCTTTTTCACTTCTCTGTACCAGTTTAGAAAATATATGTATCACTGATGGTATCAAAAGGTCCCACATCTGGATTTTAACTCTTATGTAGGTATAAGTAGTGCTTACTACTGAAACTCCATGGAACATATACCTGCTTCTATTGTATTATTTCTGATTGAAGAGAAAATGCAGTTCCTCTTAGGGAACTGTAGGTCTGATGACCTTAAAAATGGATAGTTTCAAACAATTATTGGTGAGAGATCATTAAAAAAAAAGACAATTTAAAATACTTGATTCCAGAGTAATAAAAAAGTAACCTTAAGAACCTCAGCGCTAAAGGAAAACAGCAGGCAACTTCAGAATTCTTCCATCCAAATTTTCAAGAATACAGACTGGATTAATACCACCTTTCTAAAACAAAGCAAGTCATTTTAAAAGCTAAAGGACCCATGTTAACATAATTTGATTATCAAGTTAGAAAACCACAATTATATTTCTCATCTAATTTAGATTCTGGAAACAGTAACTTAATGAACATTACAGGATACTTCAAATTGACCTGTCATAGAAAACTGTCTCCTGGGCCTTCAAATCCTATACCAATTCTATACCTCTGGGTTTTGTAATGTTTAGTCTTCTGTAAGTTTTAAGGTGAATTACATGGGATTACTTATTTCTATTAACCTAATTTCAAATCTAAAGGCAAAATTAAAATGCATTTTTCTCTTTCCTATTCCCAGAAAAGATGGCCTTAGACGCTACTATCCTATGATTCTCTTTTTGTTCAGCTCATAATACAAATAGCTTATTGTTCTTCTAAGCTGTCTTATAAAGCAATACTATAAAATTAAATAGATAAAAGTTATATGGGCTATGAAGATTGTTTGCTGGTGGTAATTTTTAAGCTTGATTCTGAATAGACTTAATAAGAAGGGCACTTGGAAGAGGTGGCTCAAATTTTGCTCTTTAAGGTGTCTTGAAATTATAGGCTCACTCTCCCAAAATTTCAAAAGGCCTCCAACTTTGGCTCTTAAGAGCAAAGCAGTGATAGAAGCTTTTAGAATCATTTCAAAAAGCAAGATTTCATAGTTTCCCCCCTCAAATGGTTCACTAGTATACTTGCAGAATGAAGGCAAAGGGAAAACCAAGAATAAAACTAGCTAAGTACTCCAGCAACTGGGCTTCCTGCTTATTTTCCCTGTTCTAAAGAAGAGGCACCATCCTGGAATAAATACTTCATAGACAACTGGGCTTTTGCAGTGTCAGTCGGCACTTGATGCCCCATATCTCCTGGTTCTTTTTGTTGCCAATAGTTGGCCTGGCAATGGTGGTGAAATGGGAGCAATTAATTTGCAGGTGAGGAAGGGCTTCTTTTAACAGTTGAAGGGTACCGTCTGGCACGATTCCAAAAACTTGTAGTGTTTTCAGTGTGGGAATTTCTCCAAGTTCACTGGAAAGGAAGAAAAAGACTTTCAGAATGGCAGTATCTATGGAAACTGTTTGACTAGAGTTATATGACCCAAATTTTACAATTTGTATCATCTACGAAATGCAGTCTGAAAATACAATTTACAATAAATGATTTGAGAAAATAGCAAATTAAATTGGAAAGCACAGACCATATCGCTTGAGCAACAGGCATTAGGAAACGCACTGCTGCATTTTATTGAATGAGGTTCCTAATAACCTTAGAAACTCAGGTTTCTTTAAGAATCCAACCATATTTGCTTCCTTTCTCCAGTTGTGATTTATATAGTGATCTGAATAGGGTTACTGTATTGTGAGAAGAAACTAGCAAGTGAGTGATGGTAGAAGCAAATGTTTTACTGTGGCACCAGCTGGAACCACCACAGGTTACATGCAAATTAAGGATATGAACTTGACCTTTATTTGAACTAGGCTCATCTCTCAAAGGGAGATGTTGTCAGGATTGATGAACTTCTTAATAATGGTTCATAGTCAACAAGTCCATTATGTGTGATGAAAACTACCACTGACTTCCCTAAGATATTTTAGATAGGGTTATGTAGTTGGGTACAGGTGGAGAAAATGGGTTAAAAATCACACCTTTTATAGGAGGCAATAGCCATCTTACCTCCCTACGTATTACCATTTTTTTCTGCATAGATAAGCCAGTCCCTTTAGGTATTTCACATTAGATGAAGTTCAACCCTGTTAACAGTGAAATTCTGTTTCACAAATTCAGTTTCTCAAATTCTGTTTCTCCAAAGTAAATACTGTTTGGTGTTGGTAATGATTTTTTTCTTCTTAACTCAGATCTATGTGCCTAGAAATTCAACTCTCTGATCTGTATTTGCTCACGGTTGGGACACACAGTACAAAGTCTCAGGAAAGGGAACATTTATTTTGGAATTTCAACAAAATCCTACTACAGATCAATGAGCACCTCAATGACCTAAAGTCAGAAACATCCTTTATATCTTCACATTGTCAATAATTACTTTAAAAAAGCCCCAAACTTTCCTTGTAACTGTCACCTGACCTCCAGTCTTTCTTCCTTCTAGCCTATTCTATATACTAATTTCCAAGGCATCTTCCTAAAGCCTAGCTCATGTTAGTCATTCATCTGCTCCAAAACCTTTGATGCTTCTCTTGTGTCTACGGAACCCAGGCTGTTCAGCTAGTCTGAAGACCTTCTGTGTCTAACCTGCTCTTCCAGTCTTCCCACTACTCCCCGAAATGTATTTATTCTACATTCCACAAGGTGTCTTAAACCCCACAAATGTTTAATATACGTTAGCTAAATACAGGATGAAGGCTAATTTACAAAATAAAAGCACTATCCAAATGAAATAAATGTGCTTGTTCACAAGGGGACAGTAAGATCTAAAGGCATATAACCAAAGAAAATCGGAAAGAACAAATTGCTGTCATTAAGTAAACTGCTTTCTGGAATGTAGAAACAGTATCAAAGTAAGATCACAATACACAGATACTTAATCACTTACGATGACAGCAATCCAGCTCCAACTTTGAATCCCCCATGTGAAATTTGAGAAACATTGTAATTACTATGAGAATTCTGGTTCTGGTATATCCAAATTACCCAAATTGTGAGCCATTCTGTGCTGGAGAATATTTAAGGGAAGAAACTGTAGGTGGAGTAAGAAAAGGAGGAATGGCAGATGGCAGAGGAGGACATGTTCTTACAACAGCATTGGGAAAGAGATTTGGTGAGGAAAGAAATGAAGACCAGACTCTCAGAACACACTCGGGTGTTATATATAAGGGGGTTATATAAGATAAAATGATGGATGAAGAACTAGTTCCCAAGTCAAAAATCCAGAAAGTAAGATTTTAAGGAGACAAAAAATAAACAAACAAAAAACAAAGCCTTCTGGTATGTGCAACTCCGAATAAAAAATTTGCAAGCATCTTTTAAAAACTACAACGGAAGAGACTGAAGAACAAACTAAGGGATAGCAAATAGAAATAAGTAGTTCAAGAGTCTTTATTTCTAATGTAAGAAGTGTAAAATAACACCAATGTCTTATGTATATTGAATTTTGGAAAATAAAAGATATTTATAAACTCACAGGATTGCTCTTTACCTTATCTATACAATAATCCTGTTTTCCTTATAAAATCTTAAATGCCTCAACTACAAATGCTCCTACCACAGAAGTTTTTTAGTCTTATAGTTTACTATCTCCAGTTTGGGTTTCTTACTTGAATGAGAAATAGGGAAGAATTAGAAGGAAGTTTAGACATAGAGAAGAAGACCAATTAAGAAGTAAGAGAATAAATACAATGGGAATAGGTCCTGGGGAAGAAAAATGTATAGTTTCCCAAGTATTTTAAAACATTACTACAGAAGAAAGACATTCAAATTGTATTTTCCCACTTCAGAGAAATAGATAGCCTTAAGTTCTTTAGCATAGGTGGCTCTCTGGAAATTACTATGGAAACACCCTGGAATTTTTATTATAAACCTCAAATATATCAGTTGCCAAAATGATTGAAATTAAAGTCATTCTAATTCTCATTTTATCTTGAGAAACTTTTAAGCATAAGGTACCAACAAACTCATCTTGAAGGATTCACCATGCAAATCAGCGTACTATTTACACAATACCTAAAGAAATATACTCTTTTACCTTAATGTTCAAGGACGGGATCTTTCTTCTTCTCTATTCTAGTGGTCTGACTTGTAACTAAACTCCTAATGCCCCTGTTCCTCTTATTTCCTAAGATTTGTACAAATAAGAAATAATAATGCAGTGAAGGTTCACAATATGTCTGTGACTTCAGGCCCGTGTTTGTAACCATCAATTCACACTGCCTCCAGGTATTACCATGTGATTATTATGCAGGTATCGCAATTACTATTACTATCATCCCACTGGATAAAATTACTAAAATGAAGAGCTCACAGCCTTCCCCTCGCCTCTGCTTGAGAAAAAGCATTTGGGTTATTACCTGCTTAGCTTCTTTCTTTCTGCAGAGAAGGAACAAAAGCAAGACACATGGATAGATTCTCTTGAGAAAAGCAACCTGAAAAGAATGATCACCACACTCCCCAGGGGGCTGCACAGGCAAAGAAGCAGGAGGCCAGATGGCAAGGACAGGAAAGAATAGATGACAGAGAAGTCTTTTTGGGTAGACGCTAGAAGCTCCTAGGAGTTCTGGATGCTAGAAAATAGAGAGGGCAGGGATTTTAATAAGAGTTTCATGCACATGAATTTAAACCCCAACATTTGACAGCCAGGAAAGTAAATCCTGCCATCCTATTTTAGGCAGTCCTTTCCCAAATGAGATACCAGCTGAGACCCTGAACCCCAAGATTAATTAAAATGATTCATTAAAATGCATAACTGCCAGATTTCCTAATTCTACTAGTTAACTCTGTATAGCGGAAGTATCTGATTTATTCATTCATTCTTGAAACTAACTTAAAAGATCCAAACTATGATTCTGAGGACTAAAATTCTTTGTTCAAATTCACCACCATTCCTATGTAGGAGCTGGAAGGTAAATTAACCTTGGTTTAGTTCGTGAGCTACATAAATGAGTCCAGCAGCCACATTCAAGACATGTTGGGCACCTGATCAACTCTTAAGATACTGACCTCTTGTGGTTTTTAATAAAATTGCTACACATGCACATTTGCCATTAGGGAGACTTTTCCAGTCCTTTGGGATGAAATACAGAAAACCTTTTAAAACAATAAAGATATGATTCCCAGGGATGAGTTGGGTATGGTGTTTCCCAAAGGAAAGATGGACCAGGCTGCTTCTTTCTTGCACTTCTTTGATTCTGTGTAAGTTGCTGAGCAGGTAAAACTAACCCTTGTATGAACCATTGGATTAGCGACTATTTTGCCTCTGTCCAGGAGACCTAGGATTTAGACTTGGGTCAGCCACCAACTCACCATCAGGGTTTGAATAAGTCACTTCACCTTTTAGACCTTAACACACCCCTCTTCAAAAATAGCATCAGACTTACAATACATACCATCTACAGGCTTATATCCTTCCATTTCCTTCACTATCCAGGACACACATCACTAAGAAGATACAGAACTTTAAGCCCAGATGAAAGCTTTTTGAATCAACTGGCGTTAATCCAAAATATTTGGAAAGAAAAAAAAAAAAAAGACACTAACCCACATTGGGTCTGCCTTCCCAATTATACTTCAAGTTTCCTGGAGGAAAAGGTTATCTTCTGCTTCTCTGCTAAGTCGTCTCATAGATACTAAGACAGCAAGCTAGTAATTAAAACTGCTTACAGCTAAACAAAATGTTTAGTGAACAATCTGGATCAACTCAATTTCACCAGACAGTTTAAGCAACATTCTGCTGGTCTTTCACAGCCAGTCTGTGGTATACTAATCACTAATGTTTCGGTTTTATATGTCTATTAATAATAATGGATTTTCACACCAAGGGGCATCTCTGCTGTTTCCTGCCTTCTATTAAGCATTAAACACAAAACATACTTACAGTAAAGTTTCAGGTATTATATCATAGCACCGACTGAGTGATAGGTGTTGGAGGTAGTTGAGCTGGAAAAATTCCTGAAAGCAGTCATTCTTTAGCATGACGCTATCACTGTAAGAAGGCAGTAAAAAAGATATTGAAAATCACACATTGATTCTAGATAAAGAAGACAGAAATAACCTACTGCTTAGTTGCTTCAATTCACCATTATGATCCTTTCCCCATATAATGAGAAATCAAGATTTTTCAACTTTTGATCTAAAGTAAACAAAAAAATACCTTAAGTCTAGATGGACAAGATTGGGGCATCTTCTAACTAAAGTACAGAGATCTAGGAAAAGCAAAAAAAACATGACAGTCACTATTAAATGAGGAACAAGACAAGGATATTTGTTATCACTACTATCATTGAACATCATGCTGGAAGTTCAGGGCAATGCAATTAGAACCACACACTATTCGAAAGAAAAAATGATCATCTTGGAACATAAAATCTTCTACCCAAAAAGCCCAAGAGAATCACCCGAAAAAGAGAACTATGTAAACTGACAATCTTTAGCTTATCTATGTATCGGCAACAGCAGGCCGGAAAAACAATAGGGAAAAAAATCCCATTCACAATAGCAAAAAGTAAAATTAAATACCAGTATATATAAGCAAATAATATATTACAAAGGTAGCACCTCAGATCAACAAGAGAAATAATGGATCAGCAAAAAGAAATATTGCTACTACAATGGGAAAAAATTATTTCTCCAACTCAAATAACATATTTAAATACATTCCACATAATAAGTTCTAAATATAAAAATATTATTTTGTATTTAGGATATTAAATATTAAAAATTATTAACTAATTTAGGGTAATTATTTAATTGAATCTTGGGATAAGGTATTTCTAAACATAAAACAAAACATAGGGAACACATCAATTTACTACATAAAATTTTAAAACTCTACCATATTAAAACAAAACAATTTAGAAAGTATCAGAAAACTGGGAATAAATGTTTTCAACATACATTAAACAGAGAGCTAATCTTATATAAAGAGAAAAAAAGATAAATCAAAAAGGCAATGAACATGAACAAATCTACATTGCAAAATACCAAGATAATAAAAAGGAGCAAGAAATACCAAATAAAATTAGAAATATTTCTTCTCAGCCATCAAGTGAAAAAAAATTCTATTATAAAGTAGGTCTATTATAAAGTAGGTCTTTCATACACCACAGGTAGATATTTAATTTTATTTGCAGGCTTTCAGGAGCCTGAACCCTGGACTGATTTTTTTTGCATAGTAAACTGATTTTTTTTCTTTTTTTAAAGAATTCAGAGAATTATACACTTTACTTTTGGTCCAGTAACTCCACTTTTAGGAAAACATAGATGTGTATGAATATATTCAACGTGGCAACAGTTATATTAGCCCCTCCTCCAATTAGTTTAATATGTTAACCTCATCCATTCCATATACACTGCTAATCATTAAGAAAACGCTTTCTGATAACATTTCATACATAAAAAAATACGAGGATAGATTGTAAACAAAATATATACAATGCATTATAATTTCAACTTGGCCAAAACACACTCAAACTCACATTTACACACAAACACATACACAGAATGAAAGAGCGAAAAGAAAAGAAAAGAAAAAAAAAAAAAACGCTGGAAGGAAATATATCCAAAATGTTAACTGCAGTATTCAAGGGTGTTGGGATTACAGGCAACTTTTCAGTATCTGGAAGAAAGTCATGTAAGCTACCTGGCAATCAGGAAATGGATCAATGTTACTTATTTAGAACAACAGGCAAACTTCATTAACATTTGAGGGTTTTTTCATCTCACAGGTATATCCCCTCCCTAAATTCTGGACTTGCATTTTCAACTGCCTCCTCAACATACTGTTTGGATATGCGATAGGCCTCTAAATTTATGTCTAAAATCAATTACTCAGTTTCTCCCCCAAATTTCCTCCTTCCCTAAACTCTCTCCCATCTCAGCAAGCAATAATTTCACGAATCCAGTGGCTTCAGCCAAAACCCTTGAAATCATAGTGGACTATTTTTCTCACATCCCTCGTTCATTCTGTCACCAAATCTCATGTTGGTTTTTAAAATGTGCCCAAATCTGATCATTTCTTACCACGTTAAGTGTCACCACCCTAGTCTCTTAACTAGTCTCTCTGCTTCATACTTCCCTGCTAAAGCCTTTTCTCAACATAGCACTAGCCTGAGTCTTTTAAAATGAAGTCAGTCACATCATTGCTCTGCCTGAAATACTCCAATGGTCTCCCATGTCCCATGTCACTTAGAAAAAATTCAAAGCTTTTGCCTTGGCTTAGACAGCCCTTGGCCATCTCTCTCCTCTCACTGTTCTCCCTGCTCCCTCTCACACACTGGTTCCATATCAAGGTATTTGCACTCGCTGGTCCTTTGTTCTTGAATGTTCTTCTCTCACATATGCATAAGGATTCTTTTTTCACTCAGTCAGGTCTGTGGGTCCAGTACAGTCTCCTCAGAGAGGCCCTGTCTTTGACCATTCCATCTAAAAGTAGTCTCCTTTCTGCCATATTCTATCTGGTTACTCTGCTTTGCTTTTCGTCCTTGCATTTTTACCTCCTTTCATAACATTTATGAAATATGTTCACTTTCTGGCTCCCCCATATAAAGTAAGCTTCGTAAGGGTGACTTTCCCTGTTCAAGGCTACATCTCCTGAGTCTGGAACAGAGCTTCGATCATTGTAGGTGCTCAATAAGTATTTAATAAATAACCAAAAAATGAAAAAAGTACACAACAAAATTTTGAGGGACCAATCATCTAGCCAGCCAACTAGCCATCAGCAAAATCAGACGCAATCTTTGACACCACTGGAGATAGAACCAAACATTAGGGGATAAAGTGGGTTAATCTCCTTCTCTGGCCCACACTTAAGATCTGTCCTCCCTGGGCAGGAAGTAGTTAGTAAAAAGTAGTCACTGCCAAGGTTTCCTTCTCACTGTCCCCTTCATTTCACCACAAACAGTAGACCCAACCTGAGCTAGAAGGGATCTTAATCCCTTCAACTGGATTCAATAATCCAACCCGTCAATTCAAATGAGAGGTGAGCAGAAGTCAAGGTCAAATCCAAGACCAAAACGTTTCTGTGCCTCATCCATTGCTCCATGGAAAGGTAGTGATGGGGGTAGTGGGGGAAGGAACAGTAATAACAGCCAACAGTAACTGAACTCTTACCATGTGGCAAGAAATGTTCCACATGCTGTACATATCTTAATTCATTTATTCTCCTGTAATTCTAAGAGATGGGGTCTACTTATCTCCATTTTACTGCTGAGAAAACTAAGGAACAGGCAAGTTTAGCAACTTGCTCAAGTCTACCCAGTAAATGGCAGAGTGGGTATTTGAACTCAGGCCATCTGGTACCAGTCTATTAGCTAAAACCAAATCCATATTATCTCATATATAATGAAATGGTGTGTGCTATTGTTAATGACATTAAAAACTTTTTTATCCCCATTGTATAATTAAAAAACTAACACTTCAATTTATATTCTGCCTCTCTGTCCTGAATGTGTCTAGCAAGCAGAATTTTAATACCTACTATTTCTGCCAAAACTCGGTAAACAGGCTCTCTGTTCTCTTTCTTGGAGGAACAAAAGGAACGGTTTTAAGCCAAACTTGGACAAAACCAACAGCACTTTGCCTACAGCAGTTTCTCAACCTTGTGCCCACAGCCTCAGTTCATGTCAGAAAATCTTTCAGTAAAGTAGTGAAAGATCCAGATGTGGGAAAGAAATATAAACAAGGCACTGCCTTCCCTTCACCTGCAGACAAACAGAGAAGAACCAAGACTGATGGAATTTCACACCAAGAGGATGCTCGTGGGTGGGAGTTTAAACTTCTTGGAGGAAAATTTGGCAGAAATTATCCAAAACTTGAGAATAGTACCTAATGCTGGACCCAGCAATTCCACTTTTAAGAATCCATCCTTAGAAATGCATCCAAAGATTTGTCTCTGTCACTCATAAAATTGTTTATAGTAGAGAAAAACTGGGAAGATTCTGAATGTCCATTAGAAGATCAACTGCATAAATTGTTATTGATTTAATATAAATTATTCCATATCTATTTGATGGACTATCACATAGCCACTGATGATGACATAATGTAGCCACTGAAAATGGGGTTATCTGGAGGAAAAAAAAGCATATTACAAAGTATTTAATATACTGTGTCCCATTTAAAGAAAAACAGTGTTTGTACAGGAAAAAGCCTAGCAAGATGTTAGATTATTGATAATTTGCTTCCCTTTGCGTTTTTCTATATTTTGCATTTTTTAAAATGACTGTATAATGCTATGATCAGTTTTAAAACAGTAATTATAAATACTGGGTGGGGAGAGTGGTAAGAAATGAAGACATGATTGCTGCTTTTACGGCTTGCTAAAGAAAGTGTTCACCTTGTCTGAAAATGCAAGTGTTTGGAATGGCAGTAGTCCAAATTTGAGTCCTTGCACAGGTGAAAGACTCGAATCTCTACCCACTCATGAGAGGCTAGCAATTATTTTCTATAGCTTTATACATCTTACCAGAGGACATCTGTCCTGGAGAAGTAGTTTTATACTACTTAAATTTTAAGATATATTCTGCAGATGTTTGATTCAAATCTTTTTCAGAATAATAAAAACTATAATAAACAAAACACACTCAAATAAGCTAGTACTAACATCAAGATATGGTTGATGTGTGTTGCTGGTTTAACTAGGTTTTGCATAGCCCACAAACTGAATGTTGGCCTGCGACGGTGAAGCCATTTAAAAAACTTGCCATTTGTAATCACTTATCTTTGCAAATCCAGATTTTCTCATTAACATACAAGTAAAATAAAGCGTAACTGAATATTAAGGTTTTTAAAGACTGTTCCCTGCTACCCCTGACTCCTAAGGCCTGTTTTCATCTAAAAAACCTCGTTGCCCTCTTGGACTGAATAAAAAGTAAAAGTCATAAATATGAACTTATTAACAGAGTTAATAACAGAGTTTTTCAACCTTGGAACTGATGTTTGGACCAGATTATTGTGCGTGATATGCTCCATCCTATACACCGTCCAGCAGCATCCTGGCTTCTGCCCAAGAAAGACCAGCAGCATTCCTACAGCTGTGACAATAAAAAATGTCTCCAGACATTGACAAATGTCCCCATACGGACAAAATAGCCCCATTAACTAATGAAGAACCACTACTTAATACTAATGAAATGCTACATTTATGTATTTTTATGTTGGGGTTTACCTAATCATTTAGTTGATTAAAAGTTTTTCTGCTTAAAAATAAATTGTTTTCAAGTGTAAAGGTTTCTACTGTTAGATCCTGAATTCAAACCTTGGCTCTAGCTCACTAGCTGTTTGCCTTCACCTAACCCTTCTGATTTAGCAGCCACCTCATCTGAAAAAGGGGACTAACACATGCACTGGATTAAATGAGAAAACTTATGTGGAGGAACGATTAGGAGAAGCTCAATGAATCTCATCTGTTATGTTGTGAAGGCCTCAGTGGTTCAGGCTTGGAAGCTCTAACCTGATTTCTGGAGGTTCTTTCTGTAGCCACTAAGATTCAGCTGGGTGATGGTCTCCGACACATGTGCAACTGCCACCTGTACATGCTTTTCAGTGAAATCAAAGCACCAGGAGAGGTTCAGCTCATCCAGTCTGCACAAAAGAGGGGTAATAAAGAAAATATGAAACCATGAAACCAATGAAAACTCACGGGAATGAGTTTGCCTCAAACCGCAAACAAAGAAAATGCAAAGCCATTGATTCCTTATCATTTCATGCATAGAACACCTGCTTCTCTAACAGCAGCTACCTCTAGTCTCCTAAGTATACCCTGTTTGCCCCTGAAAGTTGCCAGGGGATCAGAAGGGCCTTGGTGAATGCTGCCTCCTCCTGGAAATGGAGAGAAGCACTCTCTTCCTGATGGCTCAAACCTTATTCCAGTACTGCAGGTAGAAATGCTAGTCTTTTATGTTTGCCTTCTCAAACTACCAACCACCCAACACAGACTGAACAATCACTCAGGATGTTTTACACAATTGAAGGATTGCACAAAAGAGATGCTGACATTGCAAAAAGCCACTTCATCTTACTGTGCCTCTGCTAACTGAGCAAAAAACGAGGGATTCAGAGACAAAATACAACCATTAATCCCCACTCCCCACTTCTGGCACTGCTGACTAAATATAGGGCTATACATTTGATCTCACTGATAACATTCATATCCGGAGGCAATCTATTTTAAATGGACCATTAACAAGACACAGATGTACCATGGAGACCAAGGGATATTTTTTAAAAACACACATATACATAGTACTGTGTATTCCAAAAAGCATGTATTCCCCTCACTTAACAACATCTGTAACTCTGTACCCTTTATGTGCTGACATTATTATGAAAGCTATTGTTAATAGAATTGCCCAAATTTATGGTCTATATTTATAAAACACAAAATTTGATCAAAAATTGTAAGTTAGGTCTACAGATACCATAGGGGAAAAAACCTGAATGTATAGTTAAGTGTGAGTTGATTTCTTACAAATATACTGTTGACAGACACTACTATACTTCCCTTACTTTAACAGTTCCAAATAAACAAAAGAGAGATAAAAAAGTATCGCTTGCAAACTCAGTTAACTTGGCTCCTGAGTTTGGACAGAAAGTTTAGAGGACAAAAGACGCTGCATTCACCAAATCAAGAGCCTGGAAAGTTACAAAAAGCTCAAAAAGTTCATCCAATTTTATACAGATGTGAGGGATAATTTTACATTTGATATAAGAGTCTATAATCAAGTCTCACATCTTTCATACCTGGAACAGCTGCTTAGCAAAGTCTTCAGGGCAAATTCAGAGAATCCAGAACATCCAGAAAGGTTAAGCCGCACTAAATTTGAGTTTTGTGCGAGATTACTGGAAAAAGAGAAAAACGTCAGAAGAAAAAGACCAATAAGACGCTATTCATCAACAACATGTAGATAAAAGCAGGCAAGTGTAGTTAAGTTCATAGGTCTTTGAGTCAGTGAGTTTAAAATGTATATCACTACCTCTCAGATATCAAACAGGATAATTTGCCTCAGTTTACTCACCTGTGAAATGGCATTATCAAACCTTCTTGGTAGGGTTATCAAAAAGATTAAATGATATAATGTGATAAAAGACTTACTACGAAGCAAATACACAAGAATATCAATCAATGTACTTTTTGAATTAAAAACACAATGGAATAAACATATATCCATTTCACCCATAATTAGAATTAGCTTGCAAACATCTACTTGTAAAATCACCAGGTTCTTTTGATTATACATCTCTCAAATTTGCCATCTTCTCTACTACATCCCCAAATGCCCTGTGTTAGTAAAACTTAGTGATTACGAGTAAGAATTCTGGAAATATTATATCACTAGGTTCACATCTTGGTTCAGCCACCTACTAACAGTGTGACCCTGGAAAACTTATTCAGTCTCCCCCTGTCTCAGTTTCCACAGCTATAAAAAGGAAACAAGTAAGATCACACTTTATGGGGTTGCTGTCAGAATTAAATGAAAACGCATTTACAAAATTCACTATCTGGCACATAATACATGCCCCAAAACATTAGCTGCTATTATTGCTATCTGTTTTATATCAGACTTCATCATTTCTCACTTGAATGAACACAGCAGTATCCTTAACTACTCTAGCTTCTTCTATCCTCGATGGACCCTCCATGGTGCCTGGCAAGTTCATTTCCTAAATTTCAACTCTTGACGTGTTCCTTCCACTCTCAGAACAACTCTCTCCACCATGCTTCCTTTTTTTTTTCAGATGGAATTTTGCTCTTGTCACCGAGGCTGGAGTGCAGTGTCGTGGTCTCAGCTCATGGCAACCTCTGCCTCCCGGGTTCAAGTGATTCTCCTGCTTCAGTCTCCTGAGTAGCTGGGATTATAGGCATGCACCACCACACCCAGCTAAGTTTTGTATTTTTAGTAGAGACAGGGTTTCACCATGTTGGCCAGGATGGTCTCAAACTCCTGACCTCAGGTGATCCGCCCACCTCAGCCTCCCAAAGTGCTGGGGTTACAGGTGTGAGCCACCGCACCTGGCCCAGGCTTCCCTCTTGATGGAAGAGTCCATTCTTCTTATAGCAAGGCACAGGGGCCTATTACAATCTGGTCCCTGACTCTCATCACCTCCTGTCATTCCCCTCCCTTAGTCCTGCGCTCCAGTAACTTCCAACCACGTAGAGTTTAGAACCACACAGGAAGCTTTATCTAGACTGGTTGCTTTGTCTTATTACCTGGAGATCTCTTACCTAGATATCTTCAATACTCAAGAGTCACTTCATCTAAGAAGGCGGCTCCTCGCGTGTTGCCACATATTCACCAAAATATTTAATAAACACCCTAGCACGGTAATTATCTGTCTTGCTCATAAATAGTTTACCTTCTTGCAAGAGGAAACAGACATGTCTTGCTTGATGTTTCCTCTTGCAAGAAGGTAAACTATAGCTTAACCAGCATTCACTAACAATGTGGGAAAAGTTTTGGAGCATTCATTTTCTTCCAAATAATACACATGCATTGGTCATCCTTGTATCTCTAGAAACTAGCACAGGGCCTGGCATACAGTTAGCATTCAAGCTTCTGTTGCTTCAATGAGTCCTGAAAAGTTTTGCAGAAGCAAGAGCCCTGCACTAGAAATTTTCTGTATCCACCTGGATATGGCTAGAAGGGCACCCCAGTTATATATATACAGGGAAAAAAATTCATACACATAAAAACAACTGCCTTTGTGACACTCTGGCTGCCACTCACTTGACAATGGGATCCGAAAGCCGCAAGCCTTCCAGGCTTAGATTCTGCAACTTGGAACACTGAGACAGTATGCCTTGGAGGGTGGACACTTCTATAACAGAGTTCGACAGGTCCATGTGCTGTACACGAAAAGGGCTAAACACGGAGAGAAAAAGGGGCTTCATAGGTGGCTCTCACAGGTACATCCAGATCAAATCAGATCCCTTTGTCTCCCCAAATGAGCAGTCAATCACAAACAAGACTCTAAATACATACTTCAAGTATTAACTATAGGGTCTTAAAACAAATTGTTACTAGTGTATTCCCATCTTCATTCATTTTAAAATTCAAGAGGATTTTTGCCAAGTACAGATGTTGCTGCTAATATAGTCCCACTTAGAAAATAATGAGTGGGCATCACAACAATGAGCCGGACGTGGGTGACAAGGAGACTATAACGGCTCCTGGTTTCTAGCAGGGGTGAATGGGTGAGCAGCAATGGAACAGGGAAGATAGTGGAAGAGCAAGTTTTAAAGGGAGACCAGGCCGGGCGCGGTGGCTCATGCCTGTAATCCCAACACTTTGAGAGCCTGAGTTGGGCAGATCACGAGGTCAGGAGTTCGAGAGCCAGCCTGGCCTTGTGGTGAAACCCAATCTCCACTAAAAATATGAAAAATTAGTTGAGCACGGTGATGCACACCTGCAGTCCAGAGATACTGCAGTCAAGTCCCAGTGCTTGAGAGGCTGAGGCAGAATTGCTTGAACCCAGCAATAGGTTACAGTGGGCCAAGATCGCGCCACAGCACTCTGGCCTCGGTGACAGAGCAAGACTCCATCTCAAAAAAAAAGAGAGACAGACCAAATTTAATATTAGTTATGCTAATATTGGAAATTACTCATAAGAAATTCAGGTACAGAAGTTTTTAAGTAATTAGAAATTTGGGAGTTTGAAAGGCCAAGCTATAGATGAGGAACTGAGATCCTGGGCATCACTTTGAGGCCTGGGTTGGGCAGATCATGAGGTCAGGAGTTCGAGACCAGCCTGGCCAGCATGGTGGCTTAATCTCCACTAAAAATATGAAAAGTAGTTGAGCACGGTGATGCACACCTGCAGTCAAGTACTGCAGTCAAGTCCCAGTGCTTGAGAGGCTGAGGGCAGGAGAGATTGCTTGAACCCAGCAAAGCGCGGAGGTTACAGTGGGCCAAGATCGCGCCCGCACTCTGGCCTCATTTGACAGAGCAAGACTCCATCTCAAAAAAAAAAAAAAAAGGGGGAGCAGACCAAATTTAATATTAGTTATGCTAATATTGAAGTACTCATAAATTCAGGTACAAGAAGTTTTAAGTAATTAGAAATTTGGGAGTTTGAAAGGGAGGCCAAGCTATGAATGAGGAACTGAGAGTCCTGGGCAGAAAGGGAGGGCCAAGCTATAGATGAGGAACTGAGAGTCCTGGGCATACATGTGGGTGTATAGGACACAGCTTGTCCAAGGACAGCATTTTGATTTGAAAAAGGTGGCAGCCAGGAACCGACCCTGGAGTGAACAAAGGAAATCACATGTGTGAAGGAGACTGAGAAGGAATAGCCGCAGGAGGAACAGGATAAAAAGCAGTAGGAGAAGCGATTCTGACTACAGAAAGAAGGGAAAAAGTACTGGAGTCAAGAGACATGTTTTGTCTTTAGCTCTGCTGTCTTCAGCTTGTTTTTCTGTTCAGTACCTAGTTATTCTACTCAAGTATGTGATAGCAGTAACCTTAGTATTGCAAAATTACTAGTAACAGAAAATTCTTTTTCAAAATATTCTACAAAACAAACAAAAAGAGGGCATTTTTTTCAGGTTCCAAATTTCTCCACGACAAAAATCATAAACCCCAAGCTACAAATATGAAAAGACTCCTCACTTTTTTTATTGATAAGAAATGGGTGGTGGGGAAGTTAACTGGGCACCCTTGCATCTGCCGGTGAGTGCTTCACTTGTGCCTGCCTTGTGGGACTCACAGTCCTCATCAGCTGAGGACTTGAGAAGATAAATGTGCTTCTTTCACCCTGGGAAGAAACTAACAGTAACCCTGAGTGAAATGGGAACAGTGTCATTGAAATCTATGCTAGCTTTCAGTACAAAGGCCCCATAGCAAAGTACGGAATTAACATCTCGCACTGCACAGATAACCTACCATAGGCTATAAGGCTGAAGAGAGAGAAAGAGAAAGAGAAAGGCAAAGAAAGACAAAGAAAGAGAAAGAAAGCTTTGATCTGTTTCTACCTCGAAATTCAGAAATAGTCTTTTCCAAGGATTCTTCATCTTTACCTGAAATGTTCAGCCAATGGTTGGTCCATAAATGATCGTGGGCAGCGGAAGGCAATCACCCCTTGAGACAGCAACCGACCAGTCACATCCGGGTGCAGATTTTTACCTGTGAGGTCTAAGGTCTGCCATAGAGACTCATCAGACCTAGAAAAGAGGAGATGCTTAATTTGGCCAGTCAGGTCACACTAAATGCTGGAAGCCCTCAACAACATTACTAACAAGGAGAACACTGCTGCTAAATCCCCTTGAAGCACATTCTAAATGAACCTTTGTTTTTAAATCGACTATACAATTAGCTATGATTTTTAAGGCATTAGAGAATTTTTCTTGATCTCACCAGGGATAAGCTTCCATCTTTCTCTTTCTATATATTTCCAATTTAGATGGTTCAATGTGAACATTAGCACTGCCGTGATCTAGAACCAGAGAATCACATTCCAGCATTCAAGTTGACAATTTAAAAAATGATTGCTCAAATCAATTAATTATTATATTACTAGGCAAATAGATTCAAAACTTCTTAGAAGATCCTATTTGCCACTTTTGTTAAGCAATTACCATGATTACTATAACAACATGGAACTATTACTAAAGGAAGGAAAGTTAGCATTTTATTATGAAATAAGGCTGTCATAGATATCCAATAGGAATAGTCATAGTTCAGCTGTGCCTCATAATATCTTTAAGCTTAAAACATACACATATGTATGTGTATGTGTATATATGTGTGTGTATGAACTAATGTGAAATAAGGGAAAAATATAACTTAGATTATACATGGTGTTTCTAAAACAAAAGGGACGTTCAAAAAAGGTACTGAATACCACAATAAGAGGGTTTTAATACCCATAGTTGAATTCAATTTAAAAAAAATAAAATGACAAGCACATGAAGGAACATTTTAAATGCTTAGGTGTACTAGAAATTTTCTAACAGTGCTTGAAACAAGTGGACCACTGGCCAGAGTTATGAAATAATTTCATCATAAAAAAATTGTCAGTATGTGATTTGACCTCTATCAATAAAAAGGTGGACTGTAGATAAGATATCCTTAAGAGAGTGGCACACTTTTGTATCTTCTTGACCAGACAGAAATCCATTTTGGCCTCCAAGGTATTAACAGCAGATCAGCACTGCTATGGTTGTCTTGAATCTCATGCTTGATGTTTCCTCTTGCAAGAAGGCAAACTATAGCTTAACCAGCATTCAATAACAATCTGGGAAAAGTTTTGGAACAATTCGTTTTCTTTCCAAATCTTATACATTTTTTAGGAAGATGAACATCTCACAGAAAAAATGAATTCGGGAGCTACCTAAACCCTAAGCCAAGCATAACTAGATATGGTATGACGGTCATGACTGTGGAGTTAGCCAGACTTTAGATTCCTGCCTTTCCACTTATCTCTCAACCTACTATTCCTGACCCTGCAGTTTCTTCATCTCTGAAGCTGAGATGACACGAACAACATCACTTAAATCATATAGAGGATTAAACTGCAAACACTGCACTGTCACATAGCAAGTGCTTAATAAATGTCAGTTATTACTTTTATGACAACTGAGATGAAGTTTAACAGACTCTAGGGGAGATGCAGATCAAATACTAAGCCACAGATATGCAGGATGAACACATCCCAAGATATAGTGTACAACAGGAGGACTAGAGTTGATAATACTGTATTGTAGTCAGAATTTTTGCTAAGAGAGTAAATTTTAGGTGCTTTTGCCACAAAAAAGGGGTAACTATGTGAGATAATGAATATGTTAATGTACTTGATTATAGTAGCCATTTCACATACCTGTAACAAAATATGCTGTATACCTTAAATATATACAATAAAATTTTTAAATGGGATTAACAGACTCTGCAAGAAGAGGACAAATGCATAGCTGACAGAAAAAGAAAACCAAAGTGGGGTTCCTTGAGCACGGTGAGGGTACGTGAAACTTGCCTGCCACTTGCACCAGCATTCCAGGTGTGCAAACCTCTCTGCGGCTCTTCTAAGCAAACAACCCACACCTGTAAATACCAGCACACCCTTGATGGCAAGAGCCTCCTGCTATCTCACACAGGGAGTTCTAAGTATGTGGAGGGAGAAGCCAGACGGATGGCCTTTAAACACAAAGCAAAGAATGACCAGGGGGTAGGATAGGGATGAGAAGGTATGACGATAGTAAAAAGTTCCAGTTCATAAACATAGCCTTTTTCTTGCTCCAGGCCTGTATTGCCTTTCCAGCTCACCAAGGCTTTCCACATGCAACTCACCTTCCACACTTCAACAGTGTTGCCAAAAAAAAAAAGCATAACCCCACCAATGGCTACTCTGTGCAGAACATGTCTGTGAGTCAGGCATTACACCGCCATCTTCACATTTCATCCTCATAACCAATGGTTTCCTCCTCACAACATTATCCCCATTTACATATGGGAAGACTGAAGCTCAGCATTGTCAAGTAACTCACTCAGGTCATGCAGAGCGTAAGCAGCAGAGGCTGGGTGTGCACTCCTAACACCAAGCCTGCGTTCCCTCTCCCCATTGTGCTTACTGCTCAGCCCAACAGCGTGAGGAATCGCTGTCTGCATGCACCTCTGTAACTCCCTCTGCACTTAAAGCACACCGCCTGACCTACAGTCAACATCCAATAAACACATGCTGCACTGAATACAGGGCAAAGAGGTTTCCAGACATTGGTAAGTTTACCCCTTCCAGGAAATTCCTCTTCCACTGTGAAATGAGGACACTTATTAATAAAAATATGAAGATACCTAGTATGCTTTGTGCTGCTCTATTTTTCTTGGGTTTTAGTTTCATGAGACCAAAACAAATAAATAACTTTCCTCTCTTCTTCCTCCCCTACGTATGCCAAAGGGGTGAAAAATACTTACGCTAGGCGATACCACCTCTTACAAACACCAGAGACCTTTAGCAGCTCAGGGAGGCACAGACAGGAAAAGATCCCCAAGAGCAGCTCATCCGGAAGGGAGTCCCATGAAACACCTTTGGAGGGAAAACAAGTGTTTGCCATCACCATTCTTTCACCCTACCAAGTCTACTGAGTCTTTCCAATCACATAAAGAATATACAACATTTAGCTTAAATGGGGAATTTAGCACAAATGAAATTACTCATCCTCACAATTATTTTTGTCTGAAAAATTTCTGTTGAACACAAAAATAATCGTGGTGATGAGTAATCTCATTCGTGCTAAACTCCCCATTCCATCGTCTATGTACCCTGAAGTGACCACCACACTCTCTCAGCAAATGAAAAAGAGAAAACCAACAACACTTTTCCTATTCTTCTTCCCTTCAGCTCTAGCCAGCCAATCGGAGGCTGGGGCATGAACAGTGGTGCAGAGCAAGTCCCACCCTCTCAAATGTCATTCAATGACATTGTCAATTCATTGATATCAATAAGATATTGTGGTGCTTCTGGGTGCAAAGGAAGGCCTTGTTTCTCTCTGATGTGGACTCAGTGGTGACCTTATTTAAAAGGCAAATAAATCTTCTTCCCTTTCTGATATGGTTTGGCTGTGTCCCCACCCAAATCTCATCTTGAATTGTAGTTCCCATAATCTCCATGTGTTGCGGGAGGGACCCAGTGGGAGGTAATCAAATTATGGGGACGGTTACCTGGTGATAACCGCCCCTGTAATTTGATGCTGTTCTGGTGATAAGTGAGTTCTCACAAGATCTTATGGTTTTATAAGGGGCTTTCCCAACCCCTTCACTCTGCACTTTTTGATGCCGCCATGTGCAGAAGGACATGTTTGCTTCCCCTTCCGCCAATGCTTGTAAGTTTCCTGAGGCCTCCTCAACCAGGCTGAACTGTGAGTCAATTAAACTTCTTTCCTTTACGAATTACCCAGTCTTGGGTATATCTTTATTAGCAGCATGAGAACAGATTAATACTTTCTTTCAGGTTTACAAAAAGCACAGTTTACCTAAAAGAGCAATACAAAAGGGTGCTGTCATTTCTTAATTCAACAAATATTTACTGAGCTCCTACTATGGTGCCAGGTATCATTTTTGGTGTTGGGAAGGAGTAGTAAATCAGACCCAAAACACTATCTTCATGGGACTTCATTCCAGTAATGGGGAACAGATAATCACACATCAAAAAATAATTACATTATATGATATAGTAAAATTGATCTGTGCTGTGCAGAAAAATTAAACAGGGTAAGGAAGAGAACAGAGAGTTCAGGGCAGATGTTATTAAGTTTGAACACGGTGGTCAGAGGAGGCCGTACTGAGATGATGATCACTAAGCAAAGCCTTCAACAAAGTGAGGGAGTGAGCCCTGTGAGTATCTGGGATGTGTTCTGGATGCAAGGAACAGCATGTGTGTTTTGAGGCATAGCCAGGAGGCCAGTGTAGAGCAGCAGAGTGAGCAAGGCGGGTGGGTAGAAATCAGAGAGCAGCCAGGTCATGTAGGCTTCCTATGTCATGATAAAGGCCTTTGGCTTTGACACTGAATTCGATGAAGTGCCACTAGAAGATTCTGAGCACAGGAATGACAGGCTCTCATGTAAGTTCAAAAAGGATCACTCTGGTTGCTGTGTTTAGAACAGGAGAAAGGTGGATGCAGAAAAAGCAGTTTTCTTTCATAGAAGCAATCTCTAAATATTCAACAAGTATGAAACTCTTACATATGAATACGCAGAATAATCCCACAAGGTCAGGATAATATAACAATTGCCAAGAAGGAAATAAATGCACAATGAAGAAATCCTAAAAAATGGTCAGATGAGTTCAATGACTGCCTTCCTAGGCTTTCCACCTCTAATGGATCTTCTACAACAATTCTGGTGATATTCTCTCCCCCCACTAGCATTTAAAGGTGCCAGTCTTTACTGAGCATGTCCTTTGTACCAGGCCCTGTGTAAGGGGTTTGAGGACACGAGGGAGAAAAGCACCGAGGAGTGTGACAAACACCTGCTGCCCTGGGCAGTCTTTCTAAACCATCATGTCTTTCCCTCAGTTAGAATTCTTCAGTGGTACACTCCAGGTATTTAGGCTAAAGTCCACCATGCTTAGTACAAAGTTAAAGGCTTTCAGCCAGGTCCCAACTAGTTTTTCTAGGTTTGTTATCTAGAAACGTGTTCCAGCCATTTGGAGCTACCTGTAATTCTTACAATGAGTCATTCTGTGTCATATCTCAGTGCCTCTGCACATGCTTGCTTGCCTCCAACTACTATTCATTTAAAATCAAATGGAAGCCCCAGTTCCTACAGAAAGCCTCCCATGACATCGACAAGGACAGGCCACTTAGGTACCACAATTTCATTATTTACTTACTCATCTCTCTAGACCCCCAGAAGCTCTTGAGAACAAACCCCCCTCCTTTTTCTTTGTAACAATTTTTGTATTTTCAGGAACTAGCATCAAGTTGATACATTCATCCACTCCCATATTTATAAAATATGTACTATACACTGAGGTCTATTCTAGGTTTTAAGGATACAATGACAAATAAGGCACAATCCTGACCCTTATTCTGCTCAGAGGTTGAGAGATACAGAGAAACAAACAGGAAACTTCAGTAAACTATCCTGATGGGATACAGTAGGATTTGGGGTGCTGTGCAGCTCATGGGAACGGCATAGGGGTTAAGGAAGCCTTTCTGGAGGAAGTGGCCTCTCTTCAAGAATGAGTAGGAGATATACAGTTGTTCAATGAATGCCTGTTCCCCTCACCCCTCGTCCTTCAGGGGACAAAATTAAAGGACTGACTGAGGCCCTGAAAGCTAGGGGTAGAAAGCTGAAGGCAGATCACCCCTGCTGATCCGGGGAGGCAGCTGGAGGTTGTGAGGAGGCTCCTCCACATGGCAGCTGTTTCATCACGGCCACAGAGTTCCTCCAAAGTCAACATGGGCAGGGGACAAAGGTTCTCAAACCAGGCTCTTGCCCTGCTTCCCAAATTGAAAACAAAGTTGAATGACAGGCTTTTCTCAAGTTTTTCTCCTATTAATCCAACTCCCTCAGACCTCTGCTGCCTCTTACATATCTAGATCAGAATCTAGTAATTGACTGGGCACAACTATATTTGACTAAGTGTAGTCATAAACTTACATATTAACTATGTACTATATACATTGAGGTCTGTTCTAGGTTTTGGGACCCAGCGATAAGTAAGGTACAATCCTGACCCTTATTCTACTCTGAGTTTGAGAGATACAAACCGTTCAACAGGAAATTTCAATCAACTATCCTGATGGGCTACAGCAGGATTCAGGGTGCTGTGCAGCACATGGGAATGGCGCAGGGGTTAGGGAAGCCTTCCTGGAGGAAATGGCCTCTATGGAAGAGTAAGCTTAACTATACTTCAATAACATACTTAGCTATTTTGAATCTAGTACATTGAGATTTTACTATAATCTGTAAAAATCATACTGACACCATGTGCTTGGCCCCCTCAACACATCTGAGGACTACTGGACTGAGAAAGCAGCAGTTTTGATCGGAATCCTGGCTGTGTTACCCTAAGTCTGTGAACTTGGGCAAGTTACTTAATCTTTCTGGCCTCAGTTTCTTTACCTGCAGGAAAGGAAATTGACAGATTTATCTCGCAAAATTGTTCAGTGAAGAGTAAGTGAGGTACAAGAAAAGATTAAATAATGCAGCAGGGATTAAAATTTTCTATATTCCTCTCCTTTCCCAATTAAGTCTGCATGTTTTCTTCATGCAATGACCTTTTCAATGCTGCTCTGAATTTTCACCCATGGGCAGACATTGGACAAGGTCTGCATGGTATGACTTACCAAAACCCCACATCTGCCCTCTATTGAAGTTTGGGTCCCCCAGAAGCAGATTCTGAAGCTCTGACTTCAAGTAGTTTATTTGGGAAGTGATGCCAGGAAGCACTAGAAACAGTGGAGAAGACAGAGGTGGAAGGGAAGAAAGCCAACCTGGAGTAGGCTAATAAGCAGATTACCCCTATGGGCAACTAGGGTTCAAATCTTCTGAGGACTCCAGTAAACCATCTAGAAACTATCCCAGAGCTGTCTCATCCAAGGGCACGAGTGCTGGGGTATTAATCCATCAATTGCTGTTGGTCACTATTTGGGGACTCCCCAGTATTCCTGCCCAGAGAAAGCCTTCAGGTATGGAAGCTCATCTACATGTAGGCAAGAGCTTTGGCATCTAAGGGAATGGTGGGCTTCAAGGAGCTATAGATAGGGCACCAACAGAAATTATGGCTGGAGAAAGGAAATTAGAAAATCTTGCTATGAAGTACAGGGCAGGAGAAATAAATTAACAAACTTGGTGCTTTCTATTAGAAAGACATAAGAAATCAGGACCAATTAAAAAAGCAATAGCAGCTAGGTAATTAAAGTGCTAAAGGAAAATCTGGCATAGTGATCAATGCAGAGGTCAGTAGACCTAACCCATGAAGCATGTGAGACTCCAAAGTTTGGAGGACTCTGTGTTGCAACTTCCATCTTCACCTTCCCAACTCCTCCAGATTTCAGCTTAAATGGCACCTGCTCAAAGAAGCATTCCCATCTAGGATACCACCACAGGCCCCATGCCCAGATTTGCACATCCATCACCTAACACAATCCCTGGCACATAACAGGACGCTACAAATATTTGCTAAATGTATTTATTAGCCCTCTTCATACAAATGATGAACGTGCTAATTCTCTATTAGTGTGATTGGTTAACCCTTATTAACCAATTAACGACTATGTGCACAGCACTGTTGGCATATGGAGGGGATGAAGCTGAAGACAAAAACCCACAGCAGAAGGGAATATCCTCTATCAGTATAGCTGTAGTCTCTGGCAGATGGGGGCTGGGGCTTCAAGAGAACATGCAACTATGACAAAAGACACAAGGTCACACAATCAGTAAGTGGCAGAGGGGGAATTCAAACTCAGGTCTGACTTCAAATCATGCCCTTTCCATCCTAGTGGGTTCTAACATTCTATGCTCTCCTCTGTTGTGAGTACAAATTTTGAAAAGGTGAGAATTAAACCCGACTTGATATGGA